TAACGACGTGACTTGCGCTCACGGCGAGCTGATGCCTGTGCATATGGCTTTCGTTCTGACATCTTTACTTCTGCCTTGTCTTGTCTCCTTGTCCGTTTAGATTTTTGGATAGCTGTGGAAAGGAAACGCGGTACATCACTGTCCAGGCGGGTTGTGTGAAGATTGGTTTTTGGGCCGTCTTGTTGACTTGCAGACTGCTTTTTTGTTTACCGAGTGAAGAGAGTGGATTAGGGCAATTGAGTATATCAGGGGGAAATAAAATCGGCGGTCAAGATGCCGATTCGCAGTCAGTGGAGTCTTGCTCGTGAAGGTATGTTGGATTTTCGGTCTGCGACTTCTACATGAGTAAGCTGGGTGGGCGGGAAAGTGAAGTCGAAGCGGAGACTTGAATCTTTGAAGCCTCGACAAGGACATCTAAAGAGATGAAGACAGATGAAGCCAACTAACCCACCATGAACATCCAGGCGTAACCGGCGACACCCTCACCCGCCTCATCTCCCTCACAGCCCTCAACCCCGCCCTCACACTCCCCCTCCTCCTCCTCGCCCGCTATACCACCACAGGCGAGCTCTTTGCGCGCGACCACGGCACCGCACTACGGCATCTCAAGACGCTCGTGGGACTGGGCGTGGTGCACCGGCTCAACAGCTGGCTCAACAACACGGTGGTGAATAACTTCTCACGCGACGTGTATGATTGGGACAAGGAGGTTGTAGTCGTGACGGGGGGAAGCGATGGGATTGGGAAGATTGTGGTGGGCTTGTTGGCGGAGAGGGGGGTCAAGGTTGCGGTTGTGGATGTGCAGGAGCCTACTTATGAGGGTATGTGTGTGCTTTTTTTCTTGTTTTCGTGTGTTGCACGTTGGTTTCTAGGGGTTTCTTTTGCCAAAGTCAAATGGCGTCGAGTACATCAACAAAACCATGCCTGCTAACATGAAGAAACTCGTACCGATAGTTCAACCATCAGTAACCTATTTCCCCTGCGACCTCACCTCCCCATCCTCCATCACCGCCGCCGCAACCGCAATCACCACCGCCCTAGGCCCCCCCACCATCCTCATCAACAACGCCGGCGTGGCACGAGGCAAAGACATCCTCTCAACCACCGAAGCCGACATCAACCTAACCTTCAAAGTAAACACCTTCTCGCACTACCACCTCGCCCAGGCCTTTCTACCACACATGATCCAAACCAACCACGGCATGGTCGTCACCGTCGCCAGTCTGGCGGGCTACATCACAGCGCCCAAGATGGTCGACTATGCGGCCAGCAAGGCGGCCGCGATTTCCTTTCACGAGGGACTGACGGCCGAGCTCGTGGCGCTGTACAAGGCGCCGCGGGTGCGCACCGTGCTCATGTGTCAGGGGTATACGCGCACGAAGCTGTTTGAGGGGTTTGGCGGCAAGGTTTTGTATCCGGAGACGGTGGCCGAGGAGATTGTGAAGGCGGTGTTTGCGGGTAAGAGTCGGGTTGTGGTGTTGCCGGAGACGGCGTGGGCACTTGCGCCGCGGTTGAGGGGTTGGCCGGTTTGGTGTCAGACGCTGGTGCGGCGGAATTTGGATCTGATGAAGGAGTGGAGGGGGAGGCAGGTTGTGCAGCCTAGTTTGGGGGCCGAGGGTGGGAAGAGGGAGGAAGTGGAGGACAGTACGGTGTTGGTGGATGGGGAGTAGAGTACAGTGGGATGAAGAGGTGGCAGGGGAGAAAGTGCATACGGAAGAGCGTCTGGGGTAAATAAAGTCTTTCATATACACGAGCAACCGTAAATTCTCATCTTTGAAATAAGAAACCCGCAAATCATAAACATGATTGGAAAAAGCCGTCATCATCTCTAGCGTATTGGAAGCGACTTGTCATCCTCGGGCCAATTTTCAGCCGTCAAGATCTCCGGGATACCTGAGCCCGAGTCTTTTCTTGTTGTTTCGACCAGTCGTAGATGGCCCCTTCCTTATACATAACCACAATGGGTTTCAAAAAAGAGGGCCCCAATGTTCGCATCTACAAATCCGCGAACTGCCCTAAAGGTCTACTGTATGTATCCCTTGTGGATCACAGGACCCAGTTGCTAAACACCTGCGATACAGAGTACCGTAGCTGCTTGGAATAGGCATCAAACATTCCGTACATCCTCCCTAATTCAACTGTCCTTGTTCGTTGTGGCTCCCCAAACGATGCTCTCCATGAGAGCATACGGACTACTGTCCAAATCCAGGCCTTGTAATGGACTCGTACTGAACAGAGGATTTCCCTCACCACTAATCGACGCACTGTTGATGTCGTCTGCTGTGAAGACATGCATTATGGGGCTCGCTTGGCTTCCACTCTCACTCGGGCGTCGTGCATGTCTCGCTGTGTTGGTGATTTTGAGGAGACGCTCGAGCGCCGAGACGGAGCGTGTGATGGGCGTTGCGAGCTCGGCGGGGTCAACGTCCTTTGTGACGTCGGTTAGGACTTGGATGACATTTTGCAGGAGCCCGCGCGCACGCTCGTTGCGATTGTGTTCGCCAAGAATGCCAAGGAGGAGGGCGGATGAGAGGGAGCGGTGGACGGCGGCCCATGAACGCGTGGCAAAGGGTGTCATGTTCTGTAGGCCGAGGAAGGCTTCGACCGTGTTTGTCAGACTGTCAATACACGTCTTGCGCAGTGTTTTGGAGAGGTCGAGGCCAGCGGTTGTGGGGCTAATGGCGGGCCGGCAGAGCTCAGAGGTGATGTAGGATATGTGGAGATAGAGTGCCCAGTGCTCGAGTTGGTCGCGCATAGAACGGCAGCGGCGAGAATCTTTGAGGTAGTCTGCGGCGTCAATCATAATCTCTTGGAGTTCGTTGCGGTGTTCGGTGATGCGGAGGAGGGCGTCGTGGGAGCTTTGTTGGCGTTGGCGTTCGCGGACAATGTCGAGACCAACTTTGCATAGGCGGTACATGCTTTCAACATAGGTTCGTGTGCCAGGAGCGGTATATTGGCTTAGGGGAACGGTGTGGTCGATTGTGGTGGTGGAAGAGGCGCGGTCGTAGGATACGGAAAGGAGGGAGTCTTGCCAAAGCAGTGCCCACCATACTTTGCTTCGTATAATTCTTTGTTGAACTGGCGTGGACGCGGGGCACACGCGATGCAAGCCAAGAGTTTGTGATAGGCGTACCGTCAGACCCATCAAACTCCATGCCACGCCGGCGTTCATGTTATTGGAGATGACATTTCCGAGAATGAGAAGTGTTTGTATGTTTTCAATGTTCGCATGGGAGAGAAAGTTTGTGAACCGCAAGCATTCGAAGCTGCAGCAGACATAAACCTGTGATGTGAGCTCCCTCTCCCGTCTCGATAGACTCGAGCATTGACATCCAGATGCGAGAATGGCGAAGACCAGGCCTATCCAGTGGAAGTCCTTGCCATATATCAGCTGATCCGTGATGCCATTTCCACCCTGAGCACTGGCACGGTTGATGAGGAAAAGCAGCAGATCCGACTCGATCCCCTCGATATCCGCAACGGCAGGATAGACGACATGGGCCGTTTCCCGATAACTGCGGAAGAAACTGAGGCACTCGGAATCGCTTGGTATCGCATTTGCAAGTTCCTGCGCGCGTAGTATCGAGCCGTGCGGCAGGCCCCAGAGGTCGACAAAAGGATATGTGGCACTCTCGTTGTCCAGGCCGAAGATGGGCAGCATGCTCTTCTTGCCCAAGAGGTCTTGTACACCAGGCGCCCACTGTGTATCGCCACGGCCCAAGGCCATGACCAGCGCAGGCACCGAGCTGGGCCCAATGTGTATCGTTTGGCCGGTGATGTCGTTGCGCGTGTGAATTCCTTGTGTCCTCACATGGCTCTGCTCGCCATCCATGGGCGCCACAGCGGCCAACGAAGTGTTGTTGCCGGATCCGGATCCGGTCCCTGGAGGCGAGAAGCCATTGCCAGGCGGTGGCACCTCTGCCACACTGGTGATGGAGTTTTTCAGCTCGCCGAGCGACTTTTCGGCCTGCTGGAGTTTGGCACAAATGCGCTCCCAGTCCTGCCAGAGTCAGCGTCATCCCCCTCCCCCATGTGCCTTGAAAATGCAAGGGTCGGAAGAAGTCGTAAGCGAACCTCTCTTGGTAAGGTGACGGTCCCGCCGTGTATGTGCACCATGCCGTTGTTGAAGTCCTGGCCATTCTGCCCCAGGCCCATGGCTATGCGCTTCGCCGGCGGATGCGCCTCGCTGGGCGGGTGGTAGGTACATAGTTCGGGGTGTTCGCGGACAACGCAGGTGCGGCACGGCACGTTCTGGTCGCACTTTACTTTGCGCTGTCGGCATGGGTAGCAGGCCTACATGGCAGCAAAGAAAAAACAGTCAGCACAGTTTGTGGGTGCGGTGGGGATCTGTATGTGTGTATGTGTGAGGCGGTAGGGCTCGATGCGCCAGCTCTGATTTGTGTCAAGTGGCTCCCCGTTGCTCCCCCCACACATTGCGTATGACATGGTATTGGCCATCATGGAGGTCGCCTTGTTTTCTGTTCCTTCTGCCTCGACCCCGTTTGCCCTCTGTCTCGCCTCCTGCGACTTCTGCCCTACTCGCATGCCATGTCCTCTGACCAAACCACATCGCTTCAGGCTGGTGCGTACCTTGTATTCCCGCGCCTTTCGCTTGCGTCGCAATATCTCATCCACGTCAGCCCTCGGCGGCGTAACCTGCATCACGTGGCCATTCCTGGGCGTGTGCAATCCGTCGTGGTCCTTGAGGTCCTCCATAGGTCGCGGAGGGGGGGAGGAGGAGGAGCACGCAATTCGATTCGATTCGATTCAAGTCAATTCAATTCAATCCAGCCGGGAGTCCGCAGGTAGGGCAGGAGGTTACAAGGTTGGAAGATGGGCCGGATAGAGGCGCTTGCTGTGTGGTAGAGTCGGGGTGGTAGTTGTGTAGTAGTGGGAATAGTAGTGGGAATAGTGGCAAGAGTAGCCGTTGGGATTACATACTTTAGCATCTAGCGTAGCGTCGAGTAGGGCATGGGGCTACAAGGCAAAGGCAAGTGCGTACGTCCTTTTGGGGGGTGGCTCGTGCCTTCCTGGAAAGCCCCACCCCCCCGACAAGGGGTCCATGTTTAACCGACGGGCGCTTGGACCCCGCGCTCTCTCTCTCTCTCTCTGGCGCTGGGAACCCTTGGCCAATCACGGAAGAGCTCCTCCTTCCATCACCGGTGCAACGGGAATCCAGGTCCCCGCGTGTGCAAGGTCACGTGTTGTCGGGCCAAACTTCACTCGGCTCTGGGTCCGACTCGCCCTTCACTGGTGGCGGAGCGAGCACTTGGACTGGCTGACTGACTGTACCGGTTGGTTGATTGATTGACTGGCTGACTGTCAGACGTCAGATCCTCGATTGTAGCATAATACCACAGTACAGCATGTACCGGTACCCATGTACCAGACTAGGAACCGCAACTACAGTACCTCGACCGCAGCCTCGTCCGCGCAGCCTAGTACCGGTACCCTACCCTACCCTACCCTACCCTACCACGGCCAGCTAGAAGACTCCTGTTGATAACTGACAAACAGCCCATAATCAGCCCCGTGCCGCAATTAGGAATGCTACTGCAGGTAAGGAATAGACTCTTGCCATCATTTAAAAACTCAAAATAAGCGGGGGGTGGGTTGATGCCCTACTCGAAAGATTCACGGTACCCGGTAAGTTAGGCCGTGGCAGCAGTGGGAGGGGGAGCAAATCTGCCCGCATATGTGAATACCAAGCCTCTCAAACATGCATTGCCATGTTCAAGTGAGAGGCTCCGACAGCCTTGGCAAACCTTCCTCACAAAGTAGACAGCTGTTCCCTTCTCTCGCTCCCTCCTTTCACCAAGCCGCGTAAGTAGTCTGGACTCTCCGACCGAAGCTTAGCCACCAAGCCAGCTCACTTATTCTCCGTGCATATCCCTCAAACATCCATCAAACACCGAATTCTGCCTTCTTCTCATCATCGCGGCCTTTTCTGGGTTCCTCCCCCCCCCCCCAAGTCAGCTTTCCCCTTTGGGTTCTGACTAGCATGCGTAACCGTGTCGTCTCCCGTATTACTGCAGAAGGCTTATCCAAAGATCGGCCTCGAGGCAGTGATCTGCCTCTTCACTCACTCCCGCAGCCTCGTAGATAGGCAATGCCTTCTTCACTCCCGCCACCTTGGGAACATATCCTGTATTCCCTTTGTCACTTCTGTTGCTTCATCTTCGAGCACCTGCATGCACCCACAACAGTGAAACAGTCATCTTCTTTTGGGTTGCTGGATAGACGAAATCTTATCCATCAATCAATGCTAAGCACCCGCTACTCTACCGTATTCGCGATGCGCGGATGTATGCGGAATGTCCCTGATCTTGTGTAGATACTTTCTTCTCCGTCATGGATACAGCCGCTATGGGATATCTTCCGTTATTCCTAGGAGGCCGACTGCTCACTTCTAAACGCTGACTCGTACTAACTTTCCAAGATTGGAAACGGCAATCCCGGTAAAGTGCCTTGCTCCGCAGAACACGCTTGCCGAAGGCATGAGGTGATATCGTTCAATCGTCGTTGCAAGAGCCTGGCGACGCGTTTCGGCTACTCCACAGTTCCAGGCGGAATGGTCCATGTTTCGACCAGGTCGATTGCCCGATGGTCCCCCAGCCTCACGCCATACAAACGCCCTGAAGGGAAAGTAGTCCTGGAAAACTGCCAAGAACTCTACCCAAACGGAGAGATCTATCATCCGTCTCGTCCGTCTACACGTCTAAGCAGCATCCTTCTCCCCGAAGCTTTCCTCGTCCTCGCTGAACGCGTAATGACTCCTTGCACGAATCCTGGCGCCATAGAAGTAAAACACAAATGGGATTGCGCAGCACGCCAATCCGATGAAAGCCAGCAGACTACTCGCCCATTGATCTCCCAGTCGATCATACATCTGGTTGGTAAACAGCACCACGCCGGCACCCCAGAAGCTGCGCAGGAAGGTCTTGGCAGCTAACGCGGAAGCAGCCTGATGCTGGTACGAGTCCACCAGGTAGTTGTTGGCCGCGTTGTACAGGAAGATGAATCCGAATCCGACGGCGAATCCACCAAATGCGGGTCCCGCCCAGTGAAGATTGGGATATGAGGTCCACGCGAAGATGAAGACGCCAATGGGGATGAACCAACAGGATAGCATCATGGGAATAAGGCGGACTTCTGCTGGCGGGTGGCCGTTGTGTTTAGCGGAAAGTTCAAGGTAGTGTGTATTCACAAAGGGGGCGCAGGCCGCGGATGCGAGAACGCCGCAAATCAAAGGAATGAACATGAGGCCGGTGGAACTGGCGGACCAGCCTTTACCCTTTTGATAGACAATCGGGTAGGCGACGAAAAACATGTAGAGCAAGCCATAGAGAACCGACATGTACAGTGAGATGAGAAAGACGATGAGTTCCTGGAAGAGAAGCTGGAAGGGTCGGAGGAGGAACAACGACATGCGTTGGCTAAAGGGTCGTAGATCCAGCTCTTGCTCGGTAACATACTTGTCGTCACCCGTTTCTCTGCGTAATTTCTTGGCCCGGTCGGCGAGTAGGCGAGGGGTATAGGTCTCGGGAACTGTAAAGGTAATCAGGCACCACACTATGCCACTGAGAATAAGCTGGATCCAGTAGAGCCAACGCCAACCAGCAGCATCGCTGAGATAGCCACCAACCAAAGGTCCTACCCCCGGCCCTATTATGAGTTAGCACACCATTCAACCACTATCGAGACAGTGAAGTACGCCACCTGCAAATGGAGCCCCCGAGAAAAAAGCCATGGCTACACCTCTCTCCTCATTACTCCACATATCCACCAACGTCCCGCCGACCAACGACATGGGCGCCGAAAACGCCACTCCAGCCAGAAACCGCGTCACCAGCAAAGTCGCGATACTACCGGCCACCGCGCCCGGGATCGTAAAGACAACGGCCAAAGCCAAAGTAACCACATAAACAGGCTTACGACCAAGAACCTCACTCAACGGCGCAAACGCCATGGGCCCAATCCCAAACCCCACCACAAACAGCGTAATCGTCAACAGCGACACTTCCTCACTGACGCCAAACTCGGCGCTCACACCCTCCATGTCCGCACTGATGACGGCAGAATTGAAGGCGACGACAAAGCACGTCAGCGCTACACATGTTGTGCACCACCACTTCTTGGTCCGGCTCCAGTTGCGCGGGTTCTGCGCGTCGTTCAGGGTAAATGTGACGAGCTCGTAGCGTTGGGTGTTGCCGGCTGGGGAGCGGACGTGGTGGGGTAGGTGGCCGGTTGCGGTTTCTTGGGTGTATTCGGCGAGGTTGGCGGTGTTGCTGAGGGTGCGGATGGGGAGGTTGATGAGGTCTTCGTAGGTGGTTGTGCGGTGGAGGGGGTCTTGTACAGGGGAGGGGTGGTTGATGGCGGTTGTGGAGGAATGGTTCGAGGAGGATGCATCGTGGGCTGTGGGATGCTGTGTGAGGTCTTTGGAAGGGATTCGAATGGCTTCTTCTGCCATGTTTACTGTGTCTTCGGACTCTGTGTTTCTAGAATGTAGGTGGCGAGGAACGTTTAGGACAGGAATCCAAATTAAAGTCTCGTCGATGCGTCCCGGATGCCTTTCAATAACAAGTACAACTCCAAGCAAACTATAATTCTGATGTCAGAACACTACCCACCAAATACGTAACACTGACTCTACCTCAGTCCAACAAGGAAAACCTCCTAATATCCATCCAAACACGGAAACGAGCACCCAGAACTCTCGAGCTGTAATTCGTGATGCAATATTGATGGTCGACAATCGTCAACCTCGCAACATGCACATCCCCCTCACCCTTATATACCCGAACCCGCACCCACCACTAAACCCTCATCTGCCCACCACGCCATGGAAGAAAACCCAAATACCCTCTTTCAACGGAGATCCCTCGGAACACACCTCAAACACTCACTCCTGATCACTAGTTCAAAAGACGTTCTGACGACAAAGGGACCCACACCCATTCGAGGAGGGCAAAGCAACTAAACCGGAAAGAGACTAGCGTTTGGTTAATCCGATAGTTCACCGAGCAGTCCTCTGTACGCGATTGAGAAAACCAGTGGCAGCTGATATCTTGAAGAAAATCGCCCCGCTGTTTTCTTTTTCTGTTTTTTTCCTTCGTACGAGGTTGTGAATTACGAGGTTTTTTTTTTGTGTGATATAGCTGCTGTGACGGTGTGCGCGCAAAAGGCACTGTGCTGACCCGGTCGATGGTGGTAATTGACGTCATTCGAGGATTGTGATGACTGGGAGGAGCAAGTGTCTCGTACGAATCTGCTTAGTGCTGAGATTACCAGTATCTCGGAAACAAATAGCATTACAAAGAGTAAAAAGTTGATAAGAAGGGACAAGGCAGGGGGCAGGGGAGAAGGAGGTGCGAAAGAACGGTGCAACAAACGGCGTGGAAGCAGGCATACATTCGACAGAAGAATTCAAGCGAAGAAGAAAGCCATTCTACCTCTAGCAATTCCAAGCCACCGCTCCATTTCTCCCCAGAGCACTGGTAGTCTTTGCCCAAAAAAAATACTTGTCTGCTGTTGTCAAGCTTTGAGGGCGGGGGGATCAGTGATCGTGGCTCATGAATCGTAAAAGGGGAATCAAAGACAACCAAAAAAGGTTGTCGCTATCAACACCATCTCCAGATTTTCCGGCAAGCACGAAGCCCGTCATGGAAGGAAAGATCCACTCCAAAAAAGGCCAAGATACCTTGTAAGCATGGACTAGCGAGACCCCCATCCAGAACTAGGGGCACATCGTGGGTCCTCCTAAAGCAAGCCTAGTATGGGCTGTTAACAATGTCATTGCGACCCAGATAACTTCCGCGCACACCACTCCGTCGATTCGCACCGACTCGCGACGGAGTCGCAATACTCTCGCGCGTCGGCCGCTGGAGCGCTCTCTTGGCCACCATGTCGACTTCGTTGGGCAGGGCGACGATAAGATTCTTGTCTGAGCCGAATTTGAAATTGTCTGCCTTGACTTGCTCCGAGTAACGCTTGATGCTGTATGGATCCTTGCGGTTGGCCAGGACCTTCTTCATGCTCCAGGTAACGATGAAGGGGCCCGTGGCGGTGATGATGGTGGTTTCCTTGTCTTCAAGACCCGTGTTGAAGCGTGCGGTGGTGAATGAAATGGGCGCTTTCGTTTCATGCTGGAACTGGGCGACGTGGGCTGGTGTAAGTGCTAGACGACGGGGCTGGGGCTTGTCATCCTTTGCGAAAGCCTTCTCGAAGCCAAGTTTGCCATCATTCTTTCCACCCTTCTGGAGTGCGTCGATAAGCAGGAGATAGGTCCGGGTTGTGGCAAGGACCCATCGACCATCTGCTGATACGTCCATGCCAATGATTGGGTCACCGAGAGCTGGGATGAGGGTCTTGGCGTTGATACCCAGTCGGTCAAAGAGACGAATGTCGCCCTTTTCAGAAGCAACAGCAATGTGTCCCTTTTCTGTGGTAGCCGCAGCCGAGAACTCATTCTTCGTCACGTACTGCTTCAGCTGATCATCGACAAGTTTGTTACCATTCAAGCGGGGATCAACACGGTAAAGTGCATTGCCAGAGAGACCAAGGAAGGTCTGCTCGCCACTCATTTGGGCGAATTTCTAAGCGGTAGTTAGTAGTCTGCTATTCAGCACGACATCTAAGATTCGACTCACACTTTCTGGCGCAAAGACCTTGACAGGAATGTCATCGTGGACTTTCCACTCGTCTACAACAGTTCCGGTTTCCAGATCCATGCGGTACAGCGCATGCGGGTTGTCCGAATTTTGCAGAACCAGGTCGCGATCTTGCTGATGAAGCATGACCTTGTTGGGGTTGAAGGCCCTGCCCTTTGGAGTTTTGATGTTGGAGATTGTCGTCGAAAACTGTAGCTGGTTGTCGTTGGTGTGTTTGAACACACCAATCTTGTCCCCACGTACGACAAATGATCGATCATGCTTGTATCCAACTGCCAGTTGCGAGTTCTCAGCACCGTCCTTGGGACCGTTATCGACGTCATCCTCGGACTCATCCGAATCGTAGTGTTCGCTACGTTGATCGTTGGTGCTCTCGTACTCTTCCTCTTCCTCCTCCTCCTCTTCTTCTTCTTCCTCCTCCTGCTCATCTGGTGCATCATCCATGGTCATGTCTTGGAAAGCCTCCAAAACATACTCACGGTCTGTGTCCTTGGCCTTGCCCCATTTGACCTTGTTAAGGTGCTCCCAAAGGGCTTGCATCACACCCTGCTGCACAGTCTCCAGCTCTTCTTGGTCCTTGAAACGTAAAAGCCACGAGTACGCAGAGCCATCCTCCAGGTAATGATTGAAGATGAACGACTTGTATTCGTAGTTGAATACTGGGTTAATGTCTTCGACGACAGGCTGGCCGAGCCATTCACGCTCGTCACCAACAATATGTAGCCAGTAGTTCCAGTCGCCAATTTCCGTGACAGTGACGTGTACTTTCGGATCTTGCTTCATAAACGTGCCGGAGGGAAAGTCGAACAGATGGAGTTCAGCAGTGACTTCAGCCAGCACCTCCACGGCATCCGGTTGCGCCGCGGACGGTGGAGCTGCCGTAGAATCCTCTATCCCGGCTGGAGCACTACCCTTGCCTGCCACCTTCTTGGCCATCTTTTCCTTGGTTGTGCTCGGGAACAGCTCCTCTGTTGTCGGCGGTGCGACGTGTGATGCTTGGGGCTTGCTAATCGGGCTAGCTATGGGACTCGCGTCAGGAATAGGCTCTTCGTAGTACGCGAGAGCTGCAAGGTCGTCTTCGGTGGCGTGTTCGTGGCTACGTCTAAACTTGCGCTCGTACTGGCACTGCAGGGCCACGCGTTCAAAGAGAGAAGCGGTCTCGGGCTTGACCGAGGCGTCGCACACAAACTCCCAAAGGTCGTCTACGTCACCGCTGAGGTCGCGCCAGGCAAAGATCTTCTCGCCAGTTGAACGGACGTCGTCGCGAAACTGGAGGTCCTCGTCCAAGAGAAATGTCTTTTCGTCCTTGTCGCTGACTAATGCGTCGATGCCGCCGTCTTCACCTCCCTCCTCTGCGAGCAGATCCTCCTCGCCCTCTTCGTAGGCGCGCTGAACGACAAGCTGGTACTGGAACTCCTGCCCCGTGCGACGGATAGAGGCGGCGGCGTCCTTGAAGATGAGCTCAGAGTAGCCCTTGACGGAACGCGGGCGAACAAGATAGAGCTGGCCCTGTGGGATCTCTACGATGGTTTCCTTGGAACTGTCACCAAAGACGAATTTGCTTACTGTGCATCCGCGTCAGTGTTTGGTGTTACAAAGAAGCTGATAGCGGGGGGAGGGGCAAAGCAAGCCTCTTTGTAAGCATACTTACAGTTTCTCAGCATAAACATGACGAGGGAATAATTGAGTGGCGGGTCAGGTTAGGAGCTAAGCCTTCTCTTTAAACTCGGAAGAGCCTCGCGCGCATACCCATCAAACTTGAAGGCGGAAGGCGACAAGTTGTGTTGCTATCTTGGCCAGGGTCCAGCGATCAAGCCCTCGCTTAGGCGCCTGACGTGGTCACGTGATCAGGCGTCATCTTTTAGGTGATGGCAAGCATGTATTGTAAAACACACCTCATCCACCCCATCCCAGATCCAAGTCCACCATCCTCCATCATTTCCCCTCACAACGAACACCCCATCAAGCTTGAACGATGCCCAAGACAACTAAGCCCCTCGTTCTCTACTATCTCACAAGTTATAAAGCAAGCACTAGTCTATACATCCACATCAATCTGATTTTTACTTTTGGTAAAAAAAACCCAGAGACTAACATGTTCACTACATGACTGTAATCACTAGGCGTCTATTGATCCCCAGTTTGTTTGTGCAAAACATTTCCTCCCACTAACCAGTCAGCCACATCCTCTCAACCTCGGCACCAGCACAAACATCACCCACCTTCCTCCATACCATAGCATACCATAGCATACCATAGCATACCATAGCCTCTGACCCACCCTCCCCATACCATCATCCCACCAATTCGCTCCTCACCCAACACAAACCTCCCCCTCCCCCACCCCTCCAAACGCCCCCACCCAACCCAACGCATGTGGATCCGGGGTACAGTAGCGCACCCCTAGTCTCCTGCAGATTACCCAGTCCCCTGTATAGCCCAGACCAAGCCCAGATATTCCACACACCGAGACCATACCAATCCCATAGCGCAGGGGAGGGGCGGGACAGTGCATTTCCCAGGGCCCTGGTACACGTACACGTTGCTAGTATGGGTTGGGTTTGGGTTGGGAGGGGGAGAGTGTAGTTGGGAAGCTTGTTGGGGGGAATGGTTTGGTCCGATGCGGATGCGAGATAAGGGCGTGTGGTATGCGCGCGTACGTGCGTGCGTGCGTGCGTGCGTGTGAGTCCATGGGATGACAGGGGAGATGTGGGATGCGAAATCGGGGAGATGGAGGGAGAGGGGACGAGATGGTGATGTGCGTATTTGGTGTTGACCGGGAATCAACGGTTTCCGTGTCGATTACTGGGACGAGTCTGTTTGGGTGCATGGAGAATGGTCATGGTAGTATCAAGGCAAGTGTATGGGCAATAGTGGTATGCAAAGATTGGTCAAAATATGTCCTTATTTTCCACATTACATCCCCATGTTGAGCTGTTTTGCTCAGAGCGGTTCGTGCCGCGCATTACACGTACAACTACGGTCTCGTGTGGAGCTAGTTAGAGTAGTCGGGTATCGTGTCTATTCCTCCATGGAAACAAAAGCCATTTTCCGAATGCGAATGCCCATTCTAAACATTTTTCATGACCGTAGAGAAGACCGTTAGTAGGAAATCGATGAACCAGAAAGCGCTATGATTGAAGCAAAGAAGCAATGCTCTCTACAAGTGTGCGACACCAGTTGAAATCTCGCTGATGCCGTTGGTCTGGGTGCTGCTGTGGTCGGCGACAAGGTTGGAGACCTTGTTGCCAAAGTACTCGCGCTCAGCGTATGGGTTGTACATGTTCTTCTTGATGTGCACGTCAAGCTGCTCATCAGACAGATTTCGCAACTCGGTAGCACGGTCGACGCCGTTCCTTTGGGCTGCGCGGATGACGCCCCGTGTCACGACAACGGACACTTCACGAATGCGACGGATGTCGGGATATAGCCAGCCATCTGCAATTTCCTGCTCGTTAAGGGAGGTTGACAGCGATTCCGCAGAAGCGTAAATCATGTCCTGAGTCACCGAAACGGCCTTGGAGATGATGGCACCAAGACCGATACCGGGAAACACGTACATGTTGTTTCCCTGGCCAGGCGTGAGAAGCTTGCCATCCCACTCCATGGATGGAAATGGAGAGCCGGAAGCGAAGAGACAGCGGCCTTCTGTGTTGACAACAGCCTCCTCGAAAGTGCACTCAGACTTGCTAGAGGGGTTGGAGAGAGGGAAGATGATAGGCCGGTCGTTCAGCTTGGCCATCTTCTGCAGAATCTCCGTTGTGAAGGCACCACCAATCGTGGAAAGACCCATGAGGATGGTGGGTTGCACAAAGTCAATCAAGCGAGCGAGCGACTGGTATTGGCGACCATTATTGTCGTCCCGGGCAAAGTAGACTTTGTGATCCGCCAACTTATCGCCACGATCCTGGGTAACGAGACCGTTTGAGTCGACGAACCAAAACTTTCGGCGAGCCTCGTCCTCGGTCAAGCCCTCCTTGATGAAGAACTCGACAATCTGCCTGGCAACACCGGTACCAGCGCTGCCAGCACCAAGGAAGATGGCTTTGTGATCTTTGACGGGAACGCCAGATGCCTTGACAGCGTTGATGAAGCCACCCACAATGACAGCGCCAGTACCCTGGACATCATCGTTGAACATGGTGTATTTGTTTTGGTAGCGTTCAATGGCGGGGAAGGGGTTCTTGAAGTCCTCGAATTGGATGACGATGCTATCACGCGATCAGTTTCCCTGTCTGGACATGGGTGCACAAGACGTACCTTGGCCATTTGTCGGTCAGAGCCTCCATGAGCTCGTCCAAGAACTCGCACTCCTGCTCTGGGGTGACCTTTGGCATGCGAGAGCCCATGTATAGAGGGTCCTCACGCAGAGCCTGGTTGTTGGTACCCAAATCCAAGCAGAGGGGGAGTGTTGCGTCTGGGTTGATACCAGCGCAGGCAGTGTACAGAGACAGCTTGCCCACAGGAATGCCCATGCCGTTCACGCCTAGATCTCCCAGACCGAGAATACGGGAGCCGTCGGTGAGGACGGTGATGTCAACGTTGTGAGGCCAGTTATCGAGAATCTGGCGGAGGTTGCCACGGTCGTTCCACGAGAGGTACATGCCCTCGGGTTGTGTCCAGATTTCGTGCCATCGTACGCAGGCCTCGCCGACGGTGGGGGTGTAGATGAGGGGGGTCAATTCCTGCACGTGGTTAGATGGAGGCCGTTTTTTTTCCTTATTTGAGAATGGCAGGCACCGTTGATTACCTACCTTGATGTTTTCTGACAAGAGCCTGTAGAACAGGTGGACGTTGGTGGCCTTGAGGTGGACGAGATATTGGAACTTCTCAATGGGCGTTGGCTTCATTGCTAGGAGGCGGAGGCCTGTGACGACGTCAGCGGATGGCAGAGAAGAAAGAGCAGTTCAAAGAGGAAATGGACATACATCGCTGCGACTGTGTTTCGAAGCTCTCTACAGCTGGCGGGGTGAGGCCATAGGTGCCCAGGTATTTGCGGGCATCTTGCGAATGTGACGAGGAAAAGTCGCCGCTCCTGCAGGGTTGTCAGTATTTGCGGGCTGGCATTGGGATGGATGGATTGTGGCCATGGGTGTGGGTTGGGATGGCGTGGAGGGCGTACGTGGTGCTCAATTGGCGAGAAGGCAGGCCAGGTCTGGATTCTGCGGGCATGGTGTCTTGTGCAATGGAAGCCATGTAACGGAGGCTGTGTGGGGTGAAGGAGAAGAAGGTCTGGAGTCGGCGTGGGCGTGGACGTGGACGTGAGCGCTGGACCGCCTTTATAAGCGGACGACTAAATGGGAGCTGCATGGAAAAAAGAGGCCTGGGTTGAGACAAGCCGATCGGCATTTGCTTCAGGACTGCAGAAGGAGCGCGCTACAAGGGGGGGCGGAGGGGGGGGCGCACGAGAGGGCGAGAGGAGGCACCTGGCAGGCTGGCAGGCTGGCTGGCTGGCACACCCTCGTACCGGTAGCTGTTTAGACTGGCCCCCCCGCCCCTCTAGTAATACTGTAGCTCATGGCCGTCCTCCGCGAATCGGATCCGCCTTTGGAAGTCATTCCTGAAGACGTGAGCAGAGTGGAGAGCCGTCACCGCCATCCAAACGTGCTTCCGTAGCTTATGCCATCCGTCTCCAGTCTTGACAAGCACGCGTTGCTGATGTTGCTGATGTTGCTGCGCGGACGGGAAGGACCCTCCCTGGGTACTGGACCTATCTTGACTTGACCATACAGCGTTTTTTTCTTCTTCTTCTTCTTTTTTCTTTTCAGTTTCTTCGCTCTTCCTTCTCCTTCCTCAACCCTCAACCTCGCCCTTGTGTCAGCCACGGGTATATCCTATCCTGTAGCAGGAAGCTGCCATGGCTACCTAGATACCCTACTCTACTCTACCGTCCTCCTGTCCACCGTTGACAGCAAAACGGCAAAGATTCCGTAGTCAAGCTTTCTTGCCAGGGGTGTGGGGGACATGGGGTTATCGGGCAACTTGGGGGGCCCTTCCCTAGCCAGCCCTAGCCGAGAACGGCCAAGGGCGTGGAGTCTGGGAGGGGCGGAGAGGACAAGGCTCGGGCGGAACCGGGTGCAAGAACGTTCTGTCCGACCCACTTCTCCCCTTGCCCTTGCGAGCTCCAATTCTCCAACTTTTTTTTCTTCTCCTTCTTTTGCTGGGTGCTTTCATTCGTATCTACTCTTATTGTTCCTAGGTATGCAGATCCACTGCCACACTCTGAGCATTGTGGGCATTCAACATAGTCCATCTGTCGATCACTTGGCCGAAAACAGCACATGCAGACAAGAAAAGACTGGAGGCCTATTGCTTTGCAAAAGTACCTCCTAATAGGCAGGGCCAATATCCTTGTCATCCGTTAGGCATCGAGGCATTTTTTTTCCCAATTGTCAAAGCTCTGCCCATGGTCCGTGGACAAGTCCGCGAACAGACCCAAGACACAGCAGAGGCCTCAGGCAAGACAAGTCTCGGGAACACTTGGATACATACGAGAACCTCCTCAGATTCCATCCTCTCCGTGCCTTTCAGGCGCAAGTCTCTCCTTCCCCATGACAGTCTTCAGAATCGCACATCTCAGAGAGATCAATGCATGTCCCCACACACTCGGCTTTATGATTCTTCCATGGGAGATACTGTGTTCCAGTCCCAATGTCCGTTTCCAAGGCGCTATAGTCCCAATGCAGCCTAGATCGCATGTAGAGATCGGGTTGTCGTTGCGAGGTGCCCAGCCTAGCCAAGGTTGGCCATGTTCTGTGGAGTAGCCTGCCTTGGCGTCGAATGGGGGTCCAGTCTTCTCTTCCGACCTGCTCCTCCCAAACTCCCCAATCCAACTCACCAACTTCTCTCCCATCCAAGACTTCTTGCAGGGAGCCTCAAGTCCCTGAAACTCTGGCCACAAACTTCTCATTACAGCGAGAAGGCTCGGTCCGCAAGTAAGCATCCTCGAGTGACTTTTTTGCGCCCGTATGACTTTCGGACTTCCGACTGTCTGCGCGTTCGTTCCTCGACAACCGACTGGTCAGTCTCTGGTCCGCAACAGCCCATATTGTCTCGGACGATCTTTGCCTGCCATTCTCATCACATGGCTGTGCGCCGTGGTTTACGTACATATCCGAGTATTGTCTGGCCGTCTCGGACTATATACTGGCTCGTTAGTGGATGGACGATTGGGATCGACTCTTTTTTTTTGACAATATCCTGGTTCTCGTACAATGTTCAGGCGAGTCGTAGACATTGAATCCTTGCCTTGTATCAAAAGCATGCAAATTTCCATATCTGTACTCGCTGTCCTTGAAAACCAAATCCCCTTTTATATCAGCAAACACAAACAAGAACCAACCCACGAAACGAACACGTTGACAAATAAACATGGTGATGACATAACAACCCACATCCCTTTTCACACAACCACTACACGCTATCCCACTCACCCTCGACTAGCAAACGACTCCATAGCATCGTGGTGGCATGTCATATGACCATGGGTTTAGCGTCGGGCGACTTGGGCTTTACTCCGAGTGGTTAGAATATCCCTGTAGGTTCAAGTCCACGTCACAGCGGCAAATTTTTATAGTTATATAAACTAGCCTATAGTTAAGTATAAATTAGGGTAATTTAAGCAAGTAAACGTAGTTTTTATTACTATCTTTTTTAAATATATTCTAAACCTATTCTTAATAATATATAGGCGTTCCTAAATACTATACTAAAGTTTAGTATAGTAGTACTAGATAATATATCTAAACTAGATAGTAATATTAGAGATAAATTTAGGCAACTATATAAAGTGCTAGAGGAGGATAGTAGTAGTAGTATTAAGGAAGTAAGTAAAAGTAAATAGAATAAGTTTAGAATAGGTTAGTAACACGTTATAGGGGCACAATATATACCTTACTTATAGTAACAGTTAAGGACTACTACTTACACTAGTAATTATTAAGCATATAGCTATTCTCCTAGTATACCCTTAATTATATAGCTAAGGGTATAGGTATATAATACTAGTTTAGCAATATAAAGATAGCTCTTACCTAATAAGAGAAGAGGTGCTTGTGCAGGCTACACAGGTAACACGTTAAGAACACGTTCTTAAATTGTTCTAATTCTAGTAGGTATAATACTCCTGCTAGTCTGTCTATCTTAACAGGCCTACAACTTTACTATTCTTTAATAGCTAGCTAGCAAGCTAGTATAAATACTAATACTCTAGGGTAAAAGCGTGTAAGTATCTTAAGAACACGTTACAAACATATTCTTATCACGTTGTTAATAACGTATTATACAATTAGATCTAAACCTTAAAAAGTATAGTACCTAAGAAAATTCTATAAAGAGAACTATAAATAAGAAGCTATTATTATAGCCTTATTAAGCGCTTCTCTTTAAGGATTTATAAGGACTACTAGGTGTCTTATTATCCTATAATAAGGACTGCAGTAAATTAGGTAGGGAGCAAAACTTAAACATATTTAAAATATATTAATAACAAGTTAGTAAATTGTAGAATAGGCTTAACTATACATTAGCTATTAGAACTATAGCCTAATATCTACTACTAGGAAAAAACATTATTTTAGTTAGGTACTACTAGAGGTAGACTCTATATATCTACAAGGTCTTCTAACTAGGGAGATATTAAATCTTTCTAGTAGTCCTGCTTTATATTCTGTAGTTAAGCCACAGTTAAGCTAGATAAAGAAGTGTAGTAGGCATATTGCAACCTATTCCTAACATGTTCCTAACATGTTCTAGGCGTTAATTATCTATAAGGGTAAGGATCTCTATTTAAAATCCTGTATAAAGTTACCTTCTAAGTAATTATACTAATAGATATAGTAGTAATACCTTTTTTTGCTATTATTTCTTTTAGTATATATATATATATACCTCCTCCTCCCTTAACACTATCTAATAGTAATATTAAGGAAGTAGTAAAGGTGTTGTAGCCTATGCTTACTCTATAGCTTACGCAATATAAGTTGTTTATAACCTATTATAAATATATTCCTAACTTATTATAGCCTAGTTCCTAAACTTAACCTAGCTCTAAACCTATCTCTAACTTAAAGGTTTCTATTCTATTAAAGAAATATATATTAGCTTTGCAAATAAAGATAAAATCTTGCGTATTATAAAGCGTAAAAAGCTTCTATAGTTCCTATTTAAGAGTAGCCTTAGAGGAGTATACTATAAGTGGAGGATAAAGTATTAGGATCCTAAAACTATACGTGGTGTAAGAGAACAGGTTTAGAACACGTTACTAACACGTTACTATAGGCGTACATACAGCAAATCTTTACATTAAGCTTAGGTAACTTAATTATTTACCTTTTTAAAGAGTAGGCATTAATTCTATTAGATTAAGACACGTTCTAGATAGATATGTTATATAAGAGGTTGTATAGGGTATAGGCAGAGATTCTAATAGTAATCTTCTACCTGTAGGAAAAGAAGCGTACGCATTAAGAACAGGTTTGTAACACGTTTCTAATATATTATAGTTATTATACTTAGCTAAATTATTATAGATAAGGACACAACTAAGATGTATTAAGTTGCTATTACTAACTTCTTTTAGAAGTATAAAGCACTTATAAAAAGATAAGTGTTATAGAGGCATATTTACTTATAGGGATTCTATAGGACTACTATTAATATATGTAACAAGTAGATAACAGGCAAGTTTTATAGCGCACTATAACATGTTTATAACGTGTTTCTAACTTGTTTCTAGGACTTAGGCGCTATCTCTAGTTAATTAATCCCTATAAGCGTAACTAGCGCTAGCAACTTTAATCTTGTATAAGATTTTGTTAAGTATATCTACAAAGAAGTATTTACAAAGCATGTAAAAGAGAGCTAGATAATACTACCTCTTTATATCTAAGTAAATTACTATAGGCATTAATAGTAGAGGAATACTTTTAGCTTGCTAACCTCCTCTTATATAAGTAAACATATTCTAAACCTATTCTAAACGTGTTCCTAACTTATTCTTACATAATTAGAACACGAACCCTCTAAAGATGCCTAAAACTAGGCAATCTATAAGAAAAACCTAGTAATTGCTGCTAGGATTGTGCAATGCTATAGTAAAATATTAAAAGAGGCATAGGAAAAACTAGAATCTTATTTAAATATAGCTAAGCAAGCAGGCTAGAAAGGATATAAAACTAGTAAGCATGTAAGTATTCTTAAGGCTACTTAGAAGTAAGTTTACAACCTATTCTTAACCTGTTAGAATTATATAAGTAACATCGTGTAGTGTACACTAGATAGATCTATAGGATATAAAAGAGTTTAAAGCCTAGAGCAAGTTTAGAATACGCTATAACTATAGAACTCCTAATAGGCTTAAGCAAAGGTACCTTAAAAAGCTTTAGAGAGGAGAAAGTAAGTCTTACGCTAGCGTTATACACATTTGCTAATTAAAACGTGTTTAGAATGTGTTTAGAACACGTCCTATAATAATAATAACACTCTAGATAATAATAAAGTAAGTCTTGCTATATCTAACTTAACTAGATATATCTTAGTCCTAATAAGAAATAAAAGAGCACGCTTAAAAGCCTAAAGCTAGAGGGCAAGTAGTAGAGTAGTATTAGAAAGAAGTTTACTAGCCCCTTTTCTATCTTCTCTACTACTAGGCTCTTCTCCTCTACTAATAGTAACTTAAAGGTATGCTTTGCGAAACACGTTTATAACACGTTCCTAACTTATTATTAGTCTATAACTATAAACTTTACAATAAAAGGCTCTTCTTAGTAATTAGGCTCTAAAAGAGAGAAAAGAAAAGCTAGAGGTAGATAAGGAAGAACTTGTATAGAAAAAGGCACTGTTTAAATTGCAAAAGGCACAGTTTAAACTTAAGAAAGAGATAGCTACTTTTTATATAAGGCAGGGTTAGTCTATAAATATAGTAACTAGTTCCTAACTAGTTCTTAATATATTCTAGTCTATTATATAAGTATATATAAGTAGATAAATATATATTCTTTCTTCTTCTCTTTCTTCTTCTTTCTTCTTACACTCTACAAGAACTTTTTATATTTAAGAGTTTAATACTATTTTACTATCTATCTTTCCTAATATTATTAGATATAACTAGTTAATATAGTCTATAAAGATCTTTTAAAGTTAGTATGTAATAGAACGCGTTAGGAACACGTTATAAACTTGTTCTAACACTAAGTAGGATTTATACTAGTAATATATTAAGCTTAAGTTACTTCTATCTAATACTAGGGTATTCTCTCCTGCAATATCCTACCTAAATAATAGGTGTATAGTATTTCCTAGCGAGCTTTTCTACTAGGCTATTTAGGCTAGATTAGGGGTACAGGAACTTTGTAGAGTATATATACATGCAAGTTAGAACACGTTTATAATATATTAATAACTATTTTAGCGTTACTTCTCTAATAGAGGCAATCTTATCTACTACCTTAAGAGGTATTATCCTAAGGTTTAAATAGCCCTAGTAAACTATAGCAGAACTATAATACAAGGCATTATAGAAGCAAGGATCTTCTATAGGAGCTTAATAGTAAATACTTAAGAACGTGTTCTAAACACATTAATAATACGTTCTCTACTAGTAGAGCAGACTACACTAAGTGCCTCCTCTAAGGTTTAAGAACCCTCTAAGATAGCTAGTCTACAATAAGAAGTAGTAGCTAGAGTAGAGGCTAAAGAGGAAGTAGAGAGTAAAGAAGAGGAGCAAATAGTTGCTCCCCTTTACACTATAAATAATATTTAGCAAAAGTAGTAAAAAGGAGATATAAGTCTAGTCTCTTAAAACATGTTTAGAATATATTAATAATATATTATAGCTAGACACCTATAAATGCTAGATTCTTCTTTAATCTAAGGGACTACTAGAGCTTTGCAATACCTATAAAAGTTAAAAGAAAAAGTTATATACTATTAAAGGACCCTATAAAAGTAAATAGTACTTTACTTTTAGTAGATAGAAAAAAAAAGAGAAGAGTAGAGAGTTTATTTTAGTAATTACTACTACCTCTTTAGGTTATATGCTATTGTATATTATTTATTAGAACCTGTTCTTAACATATTCTTAACATGTTCCTACTTGTTACTATTATTATCTCCCTCCCCCTCTCTAGTATCTTCTCTATCCTCCCTAGGCTCTATAAAAGCATACTGCAAGTGGAACTAGGTGGTATTCTAGCAGGAATTAGTAAGGTCTACACTAGCATTAAAGTAATAGTCTTAAAACATGTTAGGAATAGGTTAACAATATGTTATAAACAACTTACTACAGCTAGGATAATTATAAGCGCAGATAGTATAAGGAACCTAATAACCTTAAATCCTTAGTAGGGTAGATATAGCAACAAAGTTAAGCTATAACAAGTTAGTAACGTGTTTTTAATAGGTTCTTACAGGCTATACCTTATTACTATTATAGCTACTACAAGTCTTCTTCTAAATTATATTTAGGAGGGTATTAGCATTTATAGGGGGGCCTATAGTAGCTACTAGCTAGGCTTAGAGAACTTCTATAAAATATATTAGTAATAAGTTTTAAATATATTCTAAATAACTTATAGCAAGAAGTATTCTAGTAATTACGTATAACCTTTATATAGAAGTCTATATATATTAGTATAATAAGTTAAGAATAGGTTAATAATATATTTACTCTTTGCCTTATAGACCTCTATTATAGAGGGCTAGCTAGTCTTCTTAACCCTACTAACCTTATAGTAGGCTATATTAAGCCTATAATCTTTTTTAGCATAGGTATATAGAGTGCCCCTAGTACCTAGAATAGCCTAAGAATATTAGAACCTATTTAGAACATGTTTAGAACCTATTCTTACTCTGCATAAGGTGCCCTTATTGTTAATCTTAGCATAGTAGTAGCGCTCTCTACTCTCTATCTTAACTGCCCTATTAGGGCTAACTATAGGCTATGCCCTAATATTATCTAGGACGTGGCTAAGGGTAAGGTACTATTAATAGTGCTTTTATAACCTATTAAGAACACGTTCTAAACACGTTTTAATCTGCTTACGTAGGATAAGAGGGATATATTAGTAATAGGTATAGTAGTAGTAGCTTATAGTGTTACTAGTATAGAATATATTTAGAATAGGTTTAGAACGTGTTGCAAAATCTTATAGCATAATGTTTAGTTAACCTTGCTTAGCTAGCTAGTAGAGCTTGGCACGGCCTAACCCCATGCCGAATACGAGTTCACGCAGCGCTAATTCCATGGTCATATGAACTGCGCCCTCCATAGCATCCATCCCCTTGAATGCCTCCTATAGCCCCGTTCGGCTAGATCGAGACCCCAATGCCGCAGCCAAGCTGGAGATCACCCGCGATTGCGGGGAAAGCTTGGTGGCTGGAGTCTGGGGAGATTGATGATCCCTGCATGGAGCATGAGGTTCGTTGTTTGTCAGTGGAGCGAGTGGCTTGGAATTTGTGGGACTTCCCTTACTCCCTGTGTATGTTAGGAGGGGGGGAGGGGGGGAGGGGGATGGTGGGGTTTGGGGTTGGTATGTTGTATGATTTGATTGGGTAGGTGGGTTTTGGGATCAAAGAAGCGTGGATGGAAGATACCATGAGCATATCCTAACCTTTTAGAAAAGTTCTTTGGCAAAATCAATCCTATAATATTGGACAGCCTCTTGACAATAAATTAGGACCTTGAATTCATCAAGGCGGCGTGGGCAAGGCAGTGTTTGGTCTTGGAGCAGTTGCTAACATCTCAATTTTCAGACGGCGCTAGAGCATGGGTTTTCTTCATTGTATGTAACGTAGTATTCTATGACTACACGTCCTATTCGGTACCTATTATGATAGTGGGACTGGCCCGCACATGTCATGGTGCTCAATAACAGCGCACCTATTATCTGCAAGACTTCTTAGTAAGAGAAAAGTTTAGTAGTAGTACTACAAAACTACAAGAAAACCAACAGGCCAAATATTGTACTTACTCACGCAACTCAGGAAACCGTTTGCATTCGTCTCACTCTCACAAGTGCAGCAATCAGCCATTGTGGTACAGGCTCCTAGAAGATGGTTCAGCAGGTCGAATTCAGATTTTAAAAAACTGGTTTGGAGGAGATCATACCACCAACGCGTTGTAGGCTATCGTCAGGTCCACAATTTATTGCATGCCACTCAGGTGATTTGCCCAGGCGCTCCGCGCAAGCAGAGCCCACGGCAATGAAGAGAATCGCAGCAAGTGAGATGCGCATATTTGGCTAGTATGAATGTATTGACGGGTAGTTATTGAAATGTTAGGTTGTATAGTGCTCCAGAGTCTGGTTTATGTACCATTAGGTAGGTAGGTCAGGAGGGCTATATACATGAATTTGTAGCACCGCAATTCCTTTCACCCCTGGCCCTGTGTCTAGAAATACACACGTCAAGGGTAGGTATAGGGGGTTGATTCATGGTATCCAGGAGATCGTTCTGTGAGGTAAGTGGGCCGTACCTACTGCCCGGGGGCCAGTCCCAGTCAGGACCAGCCCGGAGTTACCGTACAGTACGCTGGGAGTACTTAAGCCAATGAGATGTAGCAAACTACTACCGGTAGATTTCAGGCACAATTCTAGGCGAAACATCTCTGCGAAATACGAGGTGGCCCGCCGAACAAGGGCCAGTTTAGTCATTTGCCCAAAATGATAAGCATCAATTTAGTGTCTGTTGTATGCGAAAGAAGCCATGCAACCGACCAGGTACGTATATTTTGTAGGCTGTGAATACAGGATATGGTGGGTACTTACCGGCCTATCATGGATCTGCACCCTGCACGTCTCTGACGACGCGCTAGGGCTTACGTCTCACAACTCCACCGTTGTCGGTAGGCCCAGTTTCAAGAATAACGAGGCATTAAACTCAAACGGAAGCATCTTATTGTACAAACTCACAGGTTTACTCTAAACGGGAGTGTTTTGCATGCGTAAACATCTTGAAACAACGCCCGAACCTTATTTTAAAATGCCTACAAGCTGCTACCCATGCCCAGCCATCAAAGCGATAGTTATGTGAAAAAGACGAACAATACTAGGACGAGTTTCTTAGAGAAGGAGGATCGAGTACGTTTTGTACGGCTACTATGCATTATTATTAGATAGAAGTATATGCTGGTAGTCATAACAGTAATGTCAAGCCAAGAGTTCTTTGGCCCAAGATTTATCGAGCTCTAGGTATAACTTTAGTCACAATGGTACCTAATGTTCTTCTGTTCAAATGTTATAATCTTGACATCACGTGGTATCTCAGCAGCTTTTCTTGAGGTGCTGGTCTTGACAGGGTATTTACAGGTCTGTCTGTATGTAGGAAGTGTACCTACAAGTCTGAAGTTTGGGTGTTCTTCTCATGTAACTGAGCCCTGGCCACTACCAAAATAGGTAACTGTTCTTTTCCCATACGCTCTGACAATGTTCCAAGGTATGAGGAGTGAAGCCGGGGATTTTAGTAGAAACGCTAGTGGTGATGGCAGTTCGGCAGGGAGTGTCATCGGATAAATGAGACAAACACTTTGACAACTTTCAACCTTCATACCGGCACACGTTCTCCGAAGAGCTCGTCGTCAGTCCCAGCTTCCGCAGACACCCAGGTTTGTCCGCTCGATGAAGGACATGCCTCGATCAATGGCTGGCCACTTCTTCATCTGAGCTTGGCCCTCAAAGCCAAAGCAAAATATATATCTCATGCCTTGCGACAAGAATGCTCGCAATGGCGCACTGCAAGCAAGCAAGCAAGCAAGCAAGCTCTCGATCCTTGCAAAACATCCCCTATTGCCTAGTAGGTAGTTACACAAGCGATAACTCCTATAATACTCATACCATGTGCGCTAGCTATATCCGTAGTTTTCCAGAGAGTCTGGCCAGTGGATGGGCGCCGCGGGACAGTGCCGCACTGGGCCAATGACGTCGGCGCTAGCATTTCACCCTCGTCATCCTTACTCAACCCCATCGGGATCCTGTTACTGTGCTGTAAACACCAGGCTTCCACGTCGGCCTGGACGCGTAAAGCTTCTCGGTATTTTCTTGTCCACCTCCAACTGCATCCTCGTCGACCACGACAGAATCGTTGCTTCACTATACCACAATGTCTCTCTCGTCCTGCTTCGGCTCCCGTAAACGCGACGAGGACCAGCGCCCGCTGCTACCTCAAGTGCGTTTGATTGCACCCACAGGGGGTTTTTTTTTAACAAAGATAACTAACTTATGAAATAGTATCGCGATGACACGCAATTGCAACGCGAGGTTCATCAGAAGCTCCATACATACCAAATGCTGCGGGCCATGTCAATGGGTTACATGCCATCAAACGAGCAGGTTATCATCAACCTCCGAAGCTTGTTATCCGCCGACATTCTGAATCCTGAAAACACAGATCTGACCGACTCTGGAAGACTACTGGTCAAGTTCACGAAACAATGGCTTCATGATTTCATTGGGTTGCTGAGCAACAAGAACAGTGAAGATCAGATCCAAGACTTCATTTGGTACCTCAGCAAAGCCAGGGTTTCAGTGGACGTTTCAGACATGGCCCGTAGGACCACTAGGTCAAAAGCCAAAGCTGATGCTACCGCAGGTTTGCACATTAGCTTCACCAGATCCAAAAATAGATTGCTGATACGTGAACAGCTTACCACAGTCTGCAGACAGTGGGATCTTTGCTACTCACCAACTCCGATTTCCGGATCTTCCTCTCAGACTTGGAGACAGTCGGCCGCGAAGTGTTCAGGGACACGGCCTTTACCCTATCAAATGTATCAAAAAAGGCCGCCAAAAAGATTGAACCTTCCCAGCAAGAGCAGAAGAAGCTGAAGGAACCGGGTGCGGATGAGGGTCCGGCGCCAACCGCCGAGGATCTCAACGGTGAAGTCCAAGAGGTCGCTTCTGTCATCGGTGATGGTGCACTCAAGGTGGCCAAGCGAGCCGATGTGAGCTTAGCACAGAAGCTACAGGGCGACGAGGGCGAGTCACTCCTTTTCAGGCTGAAGAAGACAGTTACCAACCTGAGACAAAAGAGGGACTACAACGAATCGGTATCGGTGCTGGCATTGTTACTCAAGCGTTATGCTCTGGCATATTCTCGTACTGTGGAAGACGCAATGGGCACCATACAGGAGGACGTTGAGCCCAATCCAGCAATGGAGAGGGCTGTCAAGAACTTTTGGACTTTCTTGACATCCTTCGGAGAGAAGGAGGAATGGAAGAAGCTCGAGGATTCGTTCCACAACGTCCTGGAGCACTCACGCAAGGACCCCGAATTTGAAGACCTTCTTATTGATGTTGGCAACTCTCTGCAGAAGCTCCTTACCGATCCCGACTTTTTCGAACATGTGGACGAGAAGTTCCAGGAGCTCCGTGAGAAGGCCAAGGGTGTCGGCACTGAGTCTTCACTCCGTACGGATATTGATCAGTTCTTCGAGCAAGCTCAGACTACTTTGACGACTGTCACGCAAGACCAAGACATCGCCAAGTTGATGAAAACAACTTTGAAAATCTGGGATATCTTGTCTCCTCGCAACTCATACGCGAACAGCGAACTCATTCAGGATGCAATCAATGTCTTCGTGCCTCTTGGTATCCAGGCTATCCAATACATCCCCATTCCCCGTTTGGAAGTATCTACACCGGAACTCGACCTGCTCTTGGAAAACCTGATAGTCGAACCTGGAAAGACAGTCAATCACACCTCCTTTCTCCCGTTCCGCTTCAAGGTTGAAACCTACAACGACTTCGAGCTCCGCAAAGCCCGCTTCCGCGTCGCTTCAAAAGTCAACTCGCGCTTCACCATCAAAATCGACGGTCTCTCCTTCCGTGCCGACGAAGTTGGGTTCCTTATGCGCGCCCACAAAGGTCTCCTACGTTTTGCCGACGAGGGTATCACATCCTTCCAGCTCGACGAGCGCGGTATCGACATCCACCTCGACGTCGAAGTCGCAAAGGAGCGCATGGAGCAGATTCTCACTCTCCGCGACGTCCGTGTCCACATTCACAAGCTCAACTACACTTTGCGCAAATCAAAGTTCAGCATCTTCGGCTGGCTATTCCGACCCTTGGTTCGCCCCATCGTCCGCAAGGTCATGGAGAGGCAGATGGCAAAGGGTATTGCGGATGGCATCCATGCTGCCAATCGCGAATTGCTATTCGCGAGGGAGAGGTTGAGGGCGACGAGAATCTCGGATCCAAACGATGTCAAGACGTTCTTCAAGGCAGTGCTTACGAGGTTGACGCCCGAGGAAGATCCGGATCTGTACACGAGGGTTGGCGTTGCGGAACCTGGGAAGGGTGTGTTCAAGGGAAAATATGCGCCTGGTAGCGTTGTCAAGCTGTGGGAAGAGGAGGGCAGGAGGGCACCGGAGAGGATCGATGATTGGGATGAGGGTGGCTGGAGGAACGATGTCTTCGACTTGCATGCCATGGCCCTTTCATAGGTGTGGTATGGGAAGTTTCGTAAGGTCATGCCTTTTTCTGACGAGGGTTTCTTGTAGTAATGTTTTTTCTGCATATTTATCACGACGGTATGGCCACTCGGGATGAACTGGTAAAGTCTCTTTTGGCGTTTTTCAATTGTGTACATGGTGGAATACATAATGTTTTGATGGTTGGGGAAAGAATTTGCCTGCCTGTTCAACCTGATACGGCCTCGAAAATAAACGCCCGCTACTATTCCTCTAGCAGCTTCTATGTCACAAAAACCCCAGGTTTTTACTTACAACCAGATGAGCTGTGTTCCTCCAGCTCATGATGTCCCAAATGGCAAAAGCTTTGATCACAAATCAACTGGCTACGCTGTTTTTCCCCTCTCACATACATCCTAGCACATGATGTGGCAAGGCATCTAGAATGGAGGCAGCCAGAACTGATAGCCACCATTTTTGCCCCTAAACACACTGAGCAAGAAACTGTACATGCACAGTAGCACACCACTCCACAAGAAGACGGCAAATTGCTGTGTCCTCGGGTCCTTGATCCTAGGCACCTTGAGGGCAAGCGAGATGGTGGCAAAAGCCAGGACGCCATAAATGGCCGCCATAATCTGCGACTCGATACCGAGCTGGTTCTGGAAGCCGCCTGCAAAGTAGCTGATGCCGCCCTTGCCATTACCGGATACGTAGGGCGTCTTGCGGATGTGGTTGAACATGTGGCCGGTGGTGAAGAGGAGGACGGCGATCAGACTGATCGCAGCCCAGAGGTTGCGGTTCTGCAGGATGGGAATGACGTAGGGCGATGCGACGGCAATGAGGGTGATGGCGCCGAGTACGGCGGTGGTGAGGGTGATGATCTTCACCCAGTTGGTTGGGCGCGAGATGGAGGGTTTGGCTACGTCGGCGGGGAGCTGGCGCGAGATCCACGCGTGGAGTCTCTCTGCGGGTATGGGACCGGTGCTGAAGTCGTAGCGGAGGGGTTGGCCATCTGGCTTTGCGTTGGGGCCAACGGTGGGAGGGAAGAAGAGGAGGACGGGGGCGGTTTGGAGTTGCAGCTGTGTGCTGTGTTAGCATTGTGCTGCTGATCCATTCTATCGCTGTCTGCGATTGGACAGTGCAATTGGGCTTTGGGGCTTGCCACGTACCGACTGGAAGGTATTCTTCCCATCACCAAAGTCCAAAGTCCCAAACAAAAGCCTGGTATCGCCGTTCTTATCACCTTTCATCCAGCTCTTACCCAGCAAATCCCACTCTGGCGCGAACTCTCGGCACATGACACATCCAAACCTCGTCTCGAGCGCTGTAAGCAACACTGCAACAGAGTAGTCTCTCGGTGCCTTGGTCAATTTGCTGTAACTAGAGTCGTCCAACTTGATGGGCAGGCCAGTGGAGAGAGATTTGGCGCGCATGTCTGTGAAGCGGTCGCCAGTGGATTTCTTGGCCGCAAGGGCGGTAAAGGGCAGCAGCGAGGCTGTGAGGAACTGGAGCCACCGCATTGTGTCGGTTGGAGGGACGTGTGGTGGAGGAGGAGGAGGAGGAGGAGGAGGAGGAGGTGGTGGTTGTGGGGAGCTGTGGTGGACGTCTCGCTGGAGGGAGCCTTGGTGAACGTGGCCTTGAGTGAGCTCGGAGGTCGGCGCGGAACAGCGTGCGTAATTGACGCTAACGGTGCAGGGGGGATGGGGACATCACATAGATTCCTGGCATAGAGATGGAGCCCATGTCTACACCGCTGAACAGGATTATGAAGTGAGGTCAAGGTATTTCTTGAAGTGTCGTACTTCCCACAGATACCCTTTACTTGGACCATTGGGCCCTCATTTGATTCTTCACTACGTCGTGGTGCTATCTTGGCAACGCACCTCTGCATTGTTTGTTTACCAAGTCGCGTTGTGTCCCGCGCCCCTCTCACGCTTACCTACGACCTGCACCTACACTTACTTACACCTATACCCATTCTCTTCCGCATCATTCAACAGATATCACGTCATGGTTGCAGCCATGGACTCAAATATAGATACCACCTATGAAGTGAAAGACGTAAGTGCAAACCCGTGACTGCCTGGGCGTACCATGTAGTCAATGCTGCTAGACCCGTCACCAGCTCTTAGCCTCTGCAAACGCCCTACTTACCCTTCCAGCTTCAACACTCGCTGCGGAATGCAACGCTCGAACTCAACCTAGAGCGAAGCAAGCATTCAGTCGAAGTTGTAGTCAAGGACGAAGAAATACGGAAACTGCGAGTGAGCCAGTGTCTCCTGCAGGACGCCAACGCCGACCTCCACGAACAACTCGAAGAAGAACAAGCGCGCTCAGACGAGCTGCAGAACGCCCTCGACGAGGCTCTTGCGCAATTGGACGAACAGACTGCCCAACAAGAGGCTGCCCAGAGTCGCATCCGAACGCAGGCACGGGAAGTTGCAAATCTGAAGGTGACTTGGACAGACCCTGCACCACAACCCATTGATTTTGACTTTCGTCTAGGCTGAGTTGAAGGCCATGGAAAACGTCACCTCCGACTCCGACAAGATCCTCTCTGAGAAACTTGCCCTATCTCGCGAACTTTCATCACTGCGCCCCGAAGTCGAGCACCTCCGCGCACAGGTCGAATCGAACCAGGGCCTCCTCACCGAAAAGCTGGCATTACAACGCCAACTGACAACGCTGCAAGTCGAGCTAGAGAACGAGAAGCGCGCCGCCGCTCGCACAGCTGCGAAGCAAGGGAAGAAGATGGAGCAGGACGAAGACCTCCGCAACGAGATGGAAGAATTGCGCAAGGATCTTACAAAAGAGAAGAAGGACCGTGCAAAGGCCGAGGCTGCCCTTTCCAGAGCTGAGAAGGCAGCAGATGGGATAAAGGCGGACCTGGAGTCACAACAAAAGACTGCAGGGCGCTTGGAAGCCGAGATTGAGAAGTTGTCCCAGAAAGAAGGCAAGACGAGCAAACGTGACGAGACAAACGAGGCAGCGTTAGATGCGCTTCGTCAAGAGCTGGAGCAGGAGAGGGTCGCGCGAAAGCAAGCCGAAAAGGCTAGCAAGAATGCTGGCAGCCGAGAAGCGGAAATGGCGCAGCTGCGTGAACAGCTTGAACAGGCGAAGCGTGAAAGCCAGAAGAATGGGAAAGCATCGAAGAAGGATATCCAGCAGGATAGTTCACTCGCAGAGACTCTCAAGAAAGAGCTTGAAGAGGAGAAGCGTGAACGTAAGAGGCAAGAAAAGGAGTACAATAAGACGCTCGCGGAGCTCCAGGGTCGCAATGCTGTCCTAGATGATAAGCTGAGCGCCTTCCGTGACAAACTTAGGTCGACCAAGGATAAGTTGAAGGAGAAAGAGGCCGAGTTGGAAAGAGCCTCCGAAAGGGCACAGTCCGCACCTCCAACCAAGCCTTCTACCCAAGCCGGCTCAAAGCCGGCTGCGAAAACGGCTCGCAAGCGGACAGCGGCTACTGCCGAACCAGAGGCCATCTTAGGTACCCCAGGAGATGGCTTCCCAGCAAAGAAGACGAAGCGCGGTACTTCGGTTTCCGCTGTTGGCGATACTTCTACTTTCTCTCTGACGCCCTTCTTGAACCGTGGTGGTAACACCACAATAATTGCCAGTCCTATTGTCGAAGAAGAAGAAGAAGAGCAAGAAGAAATTCCACCGCAAGAGTCTACTCCAACTGCTTTGCCAAAGAAAGCGTCCAAGAAGATTGCACTGCCCAAGTCCAAGGCCCTTGCACCCTCTGCCTCCAACAAGGCCAACGCAAAGCCGCGTAAGAAGACCGCAGCTCCAGTCCTCGACATGGTCACGGAGGAGGCTTCTGAAATCTCACACGATACCTCCAAGGACGACACGGAAAATGCACCCGTCGCTGTGCCCCTCAAGGACGCTGACGATGGCTCCTCCACAAAGGCTAAGCCTACTGTTCCCAAATTCAAGCCCCGCAAATCTATCATGTCCTTCGCCACATTTGTCGAAGAGCCGGCCGCGGAAAAGAAAAAGAAGAAGCGCAGGCTTGGTGCTGGTAAGGGCACTTTCGATATCGACGATGCGGAGGACGATGCTGTGCTACCTAAACCCGTGGGTGTGGGTAAGGGTTTGTTTGCGGCGAGGGCATTGGGAAAGAGTGTGCTAGGTAAACAGGGGCAGCGGCCAATTTCTGGTGGCTTCAATATGTTGAGTGAAGAGGCATTTACGTTTAGTCCTTTGAAGAAGGATAGGCGGAATGGTGCTAGTTTCTTGAAGTAGATTCCTTGATAGATTGCTTGGTTGGGTAGGGCTGCTTCTAGAGACTTTTGACCGGGCGCGCAGGACTGTTTGGGTTGTTGGGTTGGTTTAGTCTTATGCTATCTTCGATGTCTATTCTATTTATACATTCGCACACGTCTCGTTCCCAAGCTTCTGGTAAGTGCCGTGAGAATCTGTGTGGTCTCTATGCATGGAAGGGCCATAATACGGGGTCGAAAGGTGATATATTCTGTCATTTCCTGTAACTGAGATACTTGAGAACGGGCTTCGTTTTTAGTGCTGTAGCATGCATGCAGTACTATTTGGCGTCGTTTGCAAATTGGCTAGTATACTGGCAGATGAGAGTTTCCACTGGATCATGAAGGTTTGTATACACTAAGATGAGCAAGTTCTCAGTGGGCTACCACAAGCGTCGAAGCAAGGCCGATCGGTGACAGACGCATCGTAGAAGAATAACAATACCATGCATTCATGCATGCGAAACTGATCCCACACGGCATGATTTTCTGGCACTGGACATCGGATTTCTTCGGGCCAAAGGACCATCATATGTAGTTTACACATATCGATGAGACTCACTATTGAATCCTAATATCCCACCAATAGCCACCACAGCAGTGGAAGTACAGCATGATGCAGACGGCCTTCACGCATTTTGGCGCCCTGGTTTCTCAATGAAGATGTGTGGACGACCTCTTGTCTCGTGATCTGAATCGAAGGAGATATATAACCCATTGTTGTCCCGTTGTTGGACTTCAGTTCTCCACCGGCAAGCAAGAAGAGCATATTACAAAGTTCAGTTCAAAACAATCAAAGAAAAACTTCATACAGATATCCATATCATCCACCATGCGTTTCAGCACCTCCGCAATCGCCCTTTTGGCTGTCGGCCTCACCTCTGCGTCCCCAGTCTCTCCAACTGCCAACGAACCTCGTCAGCTCGGTAGGCTTGAGTCTTTTGCACACCGGTGCCCCTTACATTAGAATTTCGTTTGCTAATGCTTCATCCCACAGGTTGCGTGGCCGCGTTACTTCCGCTCGTGCTGTCCTGCGGTTCTAGCCTTGGAACTTGCCCAAGCGCCCTTGTCGATCAGGTAAGTGAGATTCCTGCTTCCCCACTGGAGAAGGGTACGTTTTTACTCGCCACTGACATGATTGGATGTAGATTTGTGACTGCAAGTCTGTGCTGTTGGGGCAGCTCGGTCAGGGGCAGATTGATGCCTACCTCAATGCTTTGGGGAACCTCTGCCCCTAGGCTGATACTTGGTGCGTTACCGTATCTAGGTAGATGAGTAGGGGATGCTAGGTGTGCTACGGATCTGATCAAATTGTTTATCCGAGAATACCTCCTATGTACTCTAGTACTAGACCCCTATGCCTGTCAGGCTAGGATACATATATATGAGCACCCTCATACTTCAACATACAGCGTCACCTAGATACATGATCTCTATTTTGAAGCTTGTCACTGCAGGATCTGAATATGTGACTAGACACAGCTGAGGTCTGCAATCGCGGCAAGTCTTGCAAAAGGCTGAAGCATAAGCATAACCCTCTAATAGAAATGATCAAGTAAATCCCGCTCAGCTTGCTGCCATGCTCCTTGCAAGCCACAACTTATAACTGGTACACTGCCATACACAACTCGTCTTGGCGTATCCAGACGAACACCTGACTATGATCTGGTCTCTAGCCGAGCTTGTCCGTTGTCTAATAGGTACTCAAACTTGGCGGCGACCTACTTAGGTAGGTAACACAGACGCGTGAGTTGTTTTAGAAAGTCCAAGGTTTTCTTACTTCTGCAGTCTTTCCGTTTGGGTGCTTCGCTGGATGTCTCCAAGGTATACCCTTGTCTAACTGGAAATCGGATTGGAGAAGCTATGATACTAACAAACCACTGTTAGTCGCGGAGAAGAAGCGTACATGATCATTCAGTGAATACATGCTAGCATTAATTGAAGATAGTAAGAGTATGTAGGTACAGCAAGGCTGGGCCTCTTGCAGCAAAAAACAAAGGCCCATGTTCTAGCCTATTACTGGAGGTTTGATGCTGGCCTTGTGTTGCGAGTTGTGAATATGGTACCTATGGTAGTTACCAATAGTAGCTCTTTACTCGGCCTCGTGCACGTATGACCACAGGCACAATAGTGGATTCCACCGTCATATTTGACTTTTGCATTAAGACTCGAGTATCATCAAGCTTGGTCCTAAAGACGCGGGTGGGAGCCAGTTGCACACGAGGTCATCAGGTCGTGCGCAGCTCTCGTATATGTATGCCCGTGCATGTGCTGGAATGCGGAGGAGGTTGAGGTGGTTTAACAACTCATCCAGCCAAGTGTTAGGATCGGTATTTCACTGTGACTATTCAGTTGGCAGACGATCCACATTGCGGTACCAATCACGTGCAGCCCGTCGCCAGTGGGCTCCGGTCGAAACAATTGGCTGGAGAAATGTCCAGGAAATAGTACACTTTGCTCAACAAGACAATCTTAGTCTGCGCTTGCAGTGTATTTGTTACGGCATGTGTGCATTTTGAGACATTTGTTGCGTGGTAGTACATAGAGCGGAGGAATAGGGTGAAGTTTAGCGTTGCGCAAATTTTCTTGTCTCACTATGGCTAATAGGGTAAATGCTTCCGCTCTAGGAAGAGCATTACCTCGCATTATTTTTGAAGCTGAATTATGTTGCAAACAAGTATATTGTGGGGATATATTTGATCAATCTGCTCATTTTCCCATCAAATCAACTCGGGCTTGTGGTTTAGTGGTATAATACTCCCTTAGCATCTCTGCTTCACTGTAGATTGAGACTGGGAGTGGTCCAGGGTTCGATTCCCTGCAAGTCCAGCTGCATCCGGCTTTGAAGGCTGTTCTTTTTGCTGGTGTGGAGGAGTCCAGGGCTGGTTGGTTGGCTGGTGTTGTGGTGCGGTTGTGACTTTTTGGGCGGCATTTGGCGCTGGAACACGACGATGCGATGTGGATCTAGGAATCCAATTCCCTAGAAGTCTTGCTATCTCTGTTTCTCTAGGCTTTTGTTTTTTTGCCAGTATAGAGGTAAGTCAAGAATGAGGTAGACCAATTCTTGGGCAATGTGAACGGTCCATTCTTTTCATGCACACTAGAGCATTTTGAACGGGGAATTGAGCGAGTTTTTGGCGTAACTTCTCATTCTTATTCTATCATACCCTACAATCCTCGTTGTAGAGATATGACAAGGCTGGATTCAGACATTGGTATGATTAATGTTAGGCCATAGTATTTACCCCATCGCACCAACAACCTTAGACAGTGCATATAGAATGTCTTCTCTGCAGAATAATCGTGAGTAGAATAGCCCATATCCTTATACGAGTCACATCTGGTTACCCAATAAATGTAGGGAGATGGGACTATCACACTCCTAAATAATCTATCGAGGATACAGTATACGCACTTTCCAAGGTTGTCAGTGCAATGGGAGTAGACACACGCCTGACAGAACATGGAACTAGACAACTGTTCGGGTAAAGTACGTGACATCCCGGCTGAAAAATTAGAAACACAGCTAGGGAAAGGGTGATGGCCATTTCCGTGATATATCGGCCACTTGGTGCTAGCTTTAGGTGGTCTGCTACCTCAGAAGAGGAGCAGATGCAGATATCACCTTTTTGGGGGGGTAGGAAGCCACACAGTTGCAACTGCGTCTGTACGAATCAATGGCATGCAGAGAATGAGATTGAAACCATTGTCATGCGCAAGCTCCATTCAAGCGCGTGTTCCTATCATCTTGCTGTAGAGAAAGAGTGCTTGCGCACAACAATGAGAGTAGGGCAAGGTGGCTGACTAAGAGAGACACACAATCTCTTGGCATCACAGTCGCGCGCGCCGACGTTCAACGCGCCAAAGATTCTAGACATTCACGTCAACGTCCCCGCGCTCTCCACCACACCACCCTGCGAGTTCTGATTGACGCGGCATCGTTGTCGCATTACTTCGCCCAATATGTACGGCATGAATCAAGCCTACAACAATCCCGACCCTAGCGCGCATGTGCCGGGCAATATCGTGGGTGGACCACCAGCTCCCCAATATCCTCCAGCTAATCCAGGTAGCTTCAACATGTTCATTTGGTCTCATCCTACCGGTTCCCCGCTCTCCCTGCGCTGCAGCCCGCTCAAGCGCTCGAATATCTCATCAAGGGCCCGCAAATCACGCGCGACACTTCCCCAGTGGCCTGGACATACTTTCCATCCCCTCCGCCAGATGGCACCATCATCCTCACATGGCAGCCACCGCGTATGGCTACTCAATTTGCCTCTGATGGAATGGTGTGGGCAGATGTCGAGCAGATGTATGATGTGAATGTCCGCGGCTACGTAGGTGCTCTTCTAGTTGCACAACAGGCTCGAACTAACACCGTGGACAGAACATCCAAATCGCAGTTCACAATAGTGGTTACATTTACTCTCATGAGCAGTACACATCCCACGCACGTTTTCGTTATAGAATAGCAGCAGGACCCGGCACCATTGACCCGAACTTGTGGCTGGTGCACTACAGGCCTGCCGAGCAAATCCACAGGATCCCCGCCAGCCAGATACCAATGTCTCGAGAGGTCCAGGAAATGCTACGCGCTCGTGCTCAACTGCAAAATGCGGGACCCTTGATGCGCAAAGAATTCATGCTGGTCGATCAAGCCAACTGGCCCAAAGTCGAATTCGGACAACTCGGACAACCAGCCGCGCGAGGCCAGCAGCAGCCTTACTACAACCCCATGCAGCCTGGGCGACCCTACGCCGCGCAACCTCCGCCAGCGAAGCGCCAGCGCGTGCCTGCTCAGCCTCAAGCTCGTCAGCCTGCACCAGGTGCAATGCTCCCAGACACGTCACTCGAAGAAGAAGAGAATGCTACGCAAGACGCCTTTGACTTCTTAACCCCCCGCGAGATCAGCTTATCGAGATACAAGCAGCATCACGAGTGGATGGAAGAGATCTTCTCGTCTCCGTATGCTGTTGGCAAAATCGCGCCCATTGATCTTGGACTTGGGCTCATGGGTGAACTTGCCCCTCTTACCGCAGGCATTCTCGACGTCTCCGGTGCGGAAACTCCAGAAATGGCGAAGACGGATTACAAGATTAAGACTTATTATAAGCTACAACCGGAGCAGCTGAAAGATTTTGAGAAGCGAGTCGCCGACTACACAGCCAAGGAGCAAGCGGAAATCGAGAAGATGAAATCAGATCACGCCCGCAAGATTGCTCAGCTCAAACGAACACGGACGTATATCAAGGCAGAACGACGACTACGGGATCTCTCGCGGTCAATGGATAGTGATGCCGAGGATGCCAATGCCAATCCAGTGGAGGACGTTGTACGGGATCTGGAGAAGTCATTGGGAGTGAAATTTGATACCAAGACGTCGACCGTGTGCGTAGAGAAGGGTGGATACATCGAAGCGCAACAACCCTCTCCCCCCCAATCTCAAGTCAATGGTGACGGAGCGCAAGAAAATTCCAACGGCGCATCGAATGATTCCAACGACGATGCAGCTGTGGCAGAGAACTCGACATCAAACTTACTGGAGCAGTACGGAACTGGTTCGAATTCTGGGACTCCGATTGGTAACGTTTCATTACCACGCTTGTCACAGCCGCCTAGCCAGTCACAGTCTGCAGCAGGAACACCAAATGCACCACCCTCAGGTAACGCTAACCAGACTCCTGCCTTCGAGCGAAACGAACCCAATCTAGACATGAACGTAGGCGAAGACCTCTTGGATCTGGATGTGGAAATGTCAGGCATGACAGGGACAGCAGAGGGCAACAACAATGAGTGGGCGCAAGAAGGCAATCAGACCAGCGAGGCTACGCCTGGTAGTCAACCCAAACCGGCTACCACGAACCATAACACGACAAGTAGTACAAGCGCGGCACCGGCATCCAACTCTGGAGGAGAGGCAGGCAGTATGTTCGACACAGCCGATTTCGGCAGCTTCGATAACATCGATAGCGCTGGTGATGCATTGGCGGACTATGGACAGGATGATAATCTAGGGTTGGATCTGGTGGACGATTCCGCATTTGGGGATGCTTTCCATGGGACTGAGATGCATCATGATGAGGGAGGTGAGGGCGATCATGCATGATGGCTGTCCGTTGATCTGATGGTTTGGTTTCATGATGTGGTAGCAGGAGTTTGCTGGTATAAGAAAGGCGTTATCCCACTGGCGATGGGCAGTTGATGGGATTGCTTTTGTAGGAGACTTTGAACAATGACATTGCTACGTGTGCTTGCAAAGGCAGCTTCCTGGACTTCGTTTGAACACTCGTGCAGTACAGTATATCCGCATCGAAGGATGGACCAATCAGAAGCTGTGATCAGTCATCAGATAACAGTTGGGGACAAAGGCTTTCCAATTTCCACCCTTTCTACGCCTAAATGGAGACTACTGTGTATCATAGGAGACCATGTACACAGCAGCAGCATCATTCGCAACCACATCTACAACAGGCCAGATCGCCAATCCGCTCATGAGCCCTATAGGTTAGCAAGTGGTTAATTGTTATGCGCAAAACCCCCCTGGAGTCTCTTAGGGTCCCTTGGGGCCTTGGGGGGAGGATACATGGTAGATTCTGAATGAATCCCTCGCATGATACGCGTAACCGCCCCATCTATCGAAAACCAAGACCTGGAGAAAGTGTCGCAGGCTGTGTGTGGCAGACGGCCAAGCCCTTCAACAACGGTGTCCACTTCATTTGGACCCGGCCACCCACCTTTATCACCCCTGACCTCAATGAATCAGTGCGGGAAGCCGGTTCAAGCGGCGACCACGTCAGCGCCAAGACGAGGGCGAAGACTCGTTCCGCGAGCTTGTTTTTTTTTCCGCCTTTTGGGCGCTCGCTAGGAGTTACTGCGTGTGGTGTGGCGGGCTCATATACTTGTAGCTAGGTGTGCACTATGGTCGGCAAGTAAGTAGTAGTTTGTCATGGTAAGAATGAGTGAGCAGGCCGACGCTCTACATGTTGCAGCAGCAGCAGCAGCAGCAGTAGCAGCAGCAAAGGACGCGATTGCGAGTGCCAGTCTTGCGCTTCGAGTACGGCGTTTGTACCATGTAGGATTTCCGCTCGCGAGGACCATGGGTTCTTGCCAAGCCTTTTTCTTTCTCCTTTGATTCAGGGGACAGACGGAGAGGGCGGATCATGTATAGTATTTCAGTTTTTGTGTGTGCAAGGAGACGGTTACAGCATGATGAATGGGCCTCTTTTCTTTCCTCTCCGTCTTCTTCTTTTCTTTTCTGTGCTACATGCCAGCGCAGTTCGAGACTGCCATGTCCATGTCGATGATGGCCTGCCGAGGTAGTACGGTATATCATTCACCAGATGCTGATGCCAATGCATGTACTTAGGTACAGTAGGTGCACATATCATTTCATGTATACCGCAGGGACGACGACTGCTCAGGCAGTCAACCGATGGAAACAACATTGGGGAGAGCGGCAGCCATTAGCCTTCCTTGGTTCTTCTGTCGAGTCGCGCGCCACATTATCAGCAGCCCACTCGCCGCTCAAGGCAAGTCAGACAAGGGAGGGAGAGCGAACGAAGCCGATGTTTCCCTCTTGGCGCCACTCAAGCGTCCTGTGGTCGCTAGCTACCGGGCCTAGCTACGAGTGAGCCGCGTTCCTGAAGATGATGCGTCTCCACTAAGGCGAGCCGGCCAGCCAGGCGCAGGGCCAGGGTGCTCATGCATACTACTATGCTGCTCCAGGGCTTTTGCGACGACTGTCTGGTCAGTGGGTGTTTCTCCTCTTACTCTACTACATACTCCTTCCAAACCCTTTCCGCTCCCTCTCCCTTCCCCTCCCCCTTCCCCTCCTCCTCCTCCTCCTTCTCGTCACATATCTCTTTACACGGGGATCGTTCTCTTCATCCCCCTTTTGGCTCCCTCTTGTCTCTCCGCCGCCTTTGTCGTCTAGTCAGGGATCCGCGGCCTTCACTTGGTTCCGTTCCCACCCCACGCCCACCTCCACACCTCGAGGCTTTCCTCTCGTATGCACTGGCGATGCTTGTAGGCATCTTCCCTGGATCTTCCTAATTCTCCTTGTTCTGTGCACACCCCTTGGGACAGCACTTTTCATTTTTTTATATACATTGGATCTTGCTTGGACCCTTCTCGACACTACAGCGCAATGGCTCCTCGCGACGCCAACTGGATAGATGCAAGTCGCACCCGCTCTGGCTCTCTCTCATGTCTGTGTCACGATGGCGGCTAACAGAGTCAACCTCTTAGGGTCTCCGCGGCATAGCATCCTTTATGGTCGTCTGTGGCCATCTCTGCACTGCTTTGGTCCCGTGGTTACACTCGCCCGCCCCCGATCCCAAAACCGCACCGCACCTCTTCCAACTGCCCTACTTTCGTCTTGCCGTCGGCGGCCGCAGTGCAGTCGCTATATTCTTCTTGGTCACGGGATACGTAAACTCGATTGGCCCTATTTCGAAATCGCGCGCGGGGAACCACGATGCAGCGTTCATTGGCATTGCAAGAAGTTCCCTTGCGCGATCGGGGCGCCTCATCCTCCCGACCATGGTCGCAACCATTGTGACCTGGTTTCTCGCGAATACAAACGCATACCACATGACCAAACATGTCGACTCGACGTGGATTCGGCAGGGCTGGCACCGGCAAGAGCCTACCGTTTGGCAAGCAGTCAAGTCGTTGATCAAAGTGCTGTTGGAAACTTGGACAATTGGCTGGAATGAATACGATGGTACACAGTGGACTCTGCATTTGTTCTTGAAGGGCAGCATGATGGTATACACTACCATGTTCGCGACCGTTCTGGTCCGGCCGAAAGCACGCCTCCTCATTTACGCTGTCTTGTACCTGTTCTTTTGGCAGCTTGGTGAAGGTCAGTATTCAGCTTTTTGGGAGTGCAAGTCTACAATGCGCATATTAACGCGCTCTAGGTCTCGCTGTCGGTGCCCTGATGGGTCTAAATATCATCGTGGGCATGTTTGTAGCCGAACTTCACAACCACTACAAAGACACGGCCACCTCGGTCCTACCTGCTCCGATGCCCGCCCTCATGATCCTGGTGGGCATGTTCCTCGCCGGCTACCCCCAGGATTCACCACAAAATGCACGCTGGTCGCATGTCATGTTCAAGATCATGCATGCACTGACAGTAGAAAAGACTGATGTCCGCCGATACTGGGATCATATTGGAGCCTCGACCGTCCTTCTCGGCATCTTCTTCTCGCGCAATGCCCGGCGCGTCCTCACCTCGCCAGTCTTCAACTTCTTGGGCCGTGTCTCCTTCCCCGTGTACCTACTACACAACACCTTCATCAAGTCCGTCCTCACCTGGATGATCTACCTCCCCTCTGCCATGAACCCACCCAAGAATGAAAAGGGCGAGCCCATGGACCTGCAGCGCGGTTCGACAACGCATATTCTAATCGCCATTGCCATCTTCTACTACATCCTATACCGCAGCGCCGCCCTATGGGTACGACACGTCGACCCCGTCTGCGCCGACATGGTCAACGCCGCAACAAAATGGGCCTATGGCGAGCCCCAACAACGAGAATCCAGGCCGATACTGGGCAACGGATCCAGCATCATCACCACGGACAAAACCGTGCTTCCCTCATGAAAGGAACAAATCATTTCCTCCTCTTTGTTAACTTGGATTGATCTCCTGCGAGAGAAAACAAGCTCTTGGCCCCACACAGAGACACAGACACATACACACACATACCCATGCATTCTTCTTGTCCATCAAATTTCATGTTCCAGGAGGAGGAGGAGCAGGTACATCTCCCCCCACACCCGATATCCCCACGACACCCCTATGTTCCACACCTTTATAGCATCCAAGAGCTTGTTTCGTCCGAGGCATTCCTCCACTTCCCTCTTTTGTAACAAATACCATCTATCGCATGTCTTCTTACTCTTCTCATCTATATCTGCATTTCCTTGTCACCCCCGGCTCTCTGGAGTTTTTCGGAGGAGTTTTTTCTTTTTGTTTTTCTGTGTGTGGGAATACAGGCTCAGCGGTGTTATTAGCTGAGCGCGGCCGGTGGGGGATCTTTTCTTTTTGTTTCCTTTAGATGGGCTTTGTTGTGTCGTTTGGGGCTTTGATGTTGGGATGGGGTTGGGGTGTTTTGGGATGTTGAGGAGATGAAGAAGAATGAGGAAGAGGTGGTGGTGATGATTGTGGACTTTTTGCGTTCAAGGACGCGGTAGATGTAAGAGTTGACAAGTAACAGAGTTGCAAAATATTAGAGAAGATAGTAACGACAGGAATACATAATTACACGGTTTCGTATGGTATTGTTGGGGATTTTGCGAATAGGGTTGTTTTCGTCTTGAAATGTGATTTTTGGAGATTGTACTTGAAGATTCTGGAATCATTCTTGCACACACACACACAGTCTTCTCTGAGGTAGAAACGTGCATTATTACATCATCATCAATCATTCCCAAGTCTAACTGTAAGAAACGAGTGTTTACGACAAAACAGGGTATCAAACAAACAAACTGCCCAACCCAGCCCGATCCAACAAAACATATATGCCCACTCCCTCCCCTTTACATATTCTCAACAACGTGCGAATTAATCGCACTCTGAAAGCCCAAATTGTTCCCGCCATACTCGCGCGCCGCATCGCTCTGCGGCACGCCCAAGGCATTGGTACCAGAAGACGAGGACGAGGGCTGTGGTGGAGGCAGATAGGTACTTGGGCCTTCGCCGTGGGCATCTGCTTGCGCGAGCGCGCTTTGCACGGTTTGGTTTTGGGCGGGCAGGAAGATGACTTTGCTGTTTGCGGATTTGGCCATGGCTTGCATGGCTTCGAGGTAGCGGATTTGCATGGCGGGGGCGGAGGAGAGGATATCAGCCGCTTGGCGCATGAGCTGAAGGGGGGAGGGATGTTAGCGGTGGTGATTTTGAGGAGAGGGTAGTGGTGATGGGTGTTTAGGTATCAGTCTGTGGGTGGGTGTACAGTGTACATACCTTTGCAGCCTCAACTTCAGCACGAGCCGAAATGACCTTTGCCTCACCTGTGCGCTTGGATTGGGCAGCCATGGAAAGCGAGTCCTGAAGTTCCTGGCTGAAGATGATGTCCTTGACGAGCATGGATTCGACTTCGACGCCCCAGCCCAGCGCAGTCTGTTCGATGATTTCGCGAATCGACTGAGCGATTTCCTCGCGCCGCTCAATGACATCCTGGAGCACGCGTGCGCCGACCACGTGGCGGAGCGTCGTCTGTGTGCGTTCGACGAGCGCCTGGCGAATGTTGCTGATGCTAAAGGCGGCCTTGTGGGGAGAGGTGATGCGGTAGTAAATGACCGAAGTCAGGTTCAGCGAGACGTTGTCCTTGGTCATGCAGACTTGCTTGGGCACCTCGACGATTTGGATCTTAATGTCCACCTGCACGAGCTGCTCGGAGAGAGGGTTGATGTAGACGAGACCTGGGTCCACGGCACGGGCAAATCGACCAAACTTGGTGACGAGACCAACATTTCCTTGGCTGACTGGCTTGTAAGGGTTGGGACAGACAATGCAGCATGGAATGGCGCCGAGGGTACCAATACAGCCACCCAGAGTGTTGATCTGTTTTTCGTGTTAGTCAAGAAGAGGGGTTGCATGTTTGATGTGGAAGCGGTGAATGATTTACCATGGAACCATACCATCCATTGGTATCAGCATCAGCATCGTCGGGCTGGATGACTCTGGCATAGCTGGGTTGCAGGTCCTCTCGACGTGGCGGCTGGACTTTGATGATTGGGTCCGCCACATCATTTCCATGGACGGGTGCCTTGCCATTTGTGTCGCTCATGGTGGCTACTGTACGAGTCGGTTGAAACGAGCTTCGGTTGTGGAGAATGGGGTGGGAGGAAGATGCGGTCGACTCGGCAATGGTGTGTGAGTCTGTTGCTTGGAATGAACTCATAGCTTCCGGATGAAGGTTGTGGTGATTATATAGCCAACCGGCGGTATGTACCCTGCCACGCCAACGGGTTATGGTCATATCATGGGTGAAAGACAAAAGCGGGGGAAGCTAGCAGACTTTCCCTGCACCCAACTAAACTAGGTGCCTACACTCCCTTGTCGCAGCTTGGCTGCCCTATTGGGGCTATGTTCTATGTTTTTTGGCCTGATCAGAGAAGGTTCAACATTCATCTGAGAAGAGCAAAGGGAACCAATCAATCATTCAATCAATCCCCCCTTGATGGTTTGTGCTGCTTGCCTTGGTGGATCGTACACTCATCTACGTGCATAGCGTACCGGTACTCCCGACTGAAACAACTTGACAAAGCATTCCCGTCGTGCTCAAAGCCCCGAACCTGTCAACCACTACATACTACTACTCTGTACTTCTTACTTATTCATCCGCCACGTGAGATCGGCAACCGCAGACCCTCTTCAAGGCCTCCCGCAAGCACCCAGAGTCGGCTAAGTCGGCCGCTACAAAGTCCCACGACCTCCCCACCGATCTCTTCGTGACGTGCAATCGGTCCTCGAGGCAGTTTCCAATACCATGCGCACCACTCACAGACGGCATGTCAAGTCTTCGACGTCAGCGATGTGTTCTTGCGACCAGCTTACCTATTGCGGGAGAACACGCCCAGATCACGCGCCTGATCCTTGGAGGCGTTGGCTTTGGTCTCCCTAACAGTGGGCAGAGTGGATTAGCCCTGCTGGTACCTATGGTAAGCGAGCGCCCGTTCGTGGCCACTGCGGTACTACCTACAGGCTACAAGGCCCAAAGAACGAGGCTGATGCTACGCCCCGGTTATTTCCGTCCTGCTCAGGAACGAATGCTCCTTCATCTCCTCTGTATAGTGGCTGGGGATTGGGCACATTGCAACACACTGGCGGTAGGTAATCTTGCAGACAGTATTTACAGTCTGAGTCACAAGGCTCGACACCGTCATTTCCACTCTGCTTCACTTCCTGCTGGTCGAACTCTGCCCTCATCAAATCTTTCGTGCCACGAGCGCATGTTTTGATAAACAATGCATTTCCATCATACTCTGGTCCGCCGGTGAGCAAGTCCCGAGAGCTGCACTGCCTCACTGCTCCCTTTGCCCCGCAGTGCCTCCCTCAATCCTCCACGTGTTAGTCTTCTAGAAATTCCGTTGTGCGTTGTTAATCACACATCTTACTCAGGGTAACCCTTCCATCATCGGCGTTGGTACAAGAGACATTGTATGTGCGCGTCTAAATCTGCATTGTGGCGGCGACACAGCCTGGAATGAAGCGCCTAACCCGCGCCGCATGGCTTGCAAAGGCTCAACACTACAGCACACATCACCTTCATTGGGTTGAATTGTCCCCTGTGTATCGGCCAGAAATTTGGTACGCCCCATGCAATTTTATGTGGAGGCTTGCGACCAGCTTTGCCTTGTATATATTGCTGCACGCCGTATCTTGCCCTGCTGAAATGGTTTCCATGCCACAACTGGGCATGTAATTTCTCACACCGACTTGCTCTTGGATTTTGTGAGTAAATAAGTAAACTAAGTGGAGGCTATGTTCGAGCATTTTTGGCTGCTAATGCTAACCATTAGAAATGTACCATAGTCAGTCCACATTGTCCAAGAACCGATCAATCCTGGCGATATGCTTGATATATTGACCATTTTAAACTTCTTTTGATTACCCTATTAGTAGCATTTGATTCAACCAGTACGAGATCACATCGCATGTCTTCTAACAGAAATACAAGCTTGCTAAACAAACAAAGGAAAACATAGCACATGTTGTCTCTACTCTTGGGTTCAGAATAATGCGTACGGATCCCTAACGAGACCATAACTTCATTTTGCAATTTGATACGCTCTATCGATATGCGTATATGGATGCTAATTATGATGGTGCTCTGTCGTGTCCGCAGGCGCGGAGGTTCGACTCACCTTCACCTTCTTCAGACACACCGCATCACCTCTACCATATGTATCACGGTGAGAACGGGCACTTTCATGTAACGCGTATAAATCTGCCACTTCTTCCAGATTCCCCGCTGCTTTCAACACTATCTTTCTCATCCACCTCAACCCCAACACTACTCGTTCAGTCTCCACTAAACTTCAGTGCTTCTCTCTCTACAACAAAATGGCCGACAATACTCCCAAGGCACCAGGTGCGGGCTGGACTGAGCACGAAGTTGTACGTTTGAACCCTTCACTTCTCTACAGCGCCACTTCTGACTATCTCAAATAGCTCGTTTACATACTCAGTGGAATGGAGCACTCCAAGTTCAAGATCGACTACAGCGTAGGTTTCAAGCCATCATCGCTCCACGTAAATCCTTTGCTAATATCATGCCTAGAACGCGCCTATTCCAGTCGGCCGCAGCGCGGATGGCATCCGTCAGAAAATCAACAAGCTGGTCTTAGCCCTCAAACCTGAAATGGACGCTTTGAAAGGGGGACAGTCACTGCCGACGACCACCACCGCCAGCGAGAGCACTCCCAGGAAGAAAGCTACACCGCGCAAGCGCAAAGGCAAGGTCGAAGACGCAGACAATGCCGGGGGAAGCCCTAAGAAGCGCGGACGCCCAAAGAAAATTGTTACCCCGAAGGATGAGGCTGATGATGAGGACATCAATGTCAAGGAAGAAGTCTAGGAGGAACAGCTGATTGAGGAAGAAGTGTAGAGCATGACCATGGCCAAGCAATATTTTGCCTTCAGCTTGTCAAATGATTGATGCCAGAGATGCTGCTGATTACTGGGGGCTTCTTTCGTGGGATTTACATTGGGTGCATCTTCCTCTTTGATTAGCTTACCACACAAACGGCATATGTGGATTCATAACACGATGCTCCTTCATCAGTACTACCTATGAATATGTTCTTGAATCAAAGAGAAAGTTGCAAATAATCAAAATTCAATTACCTGCTTTGCCCTGATACAGCTTGCTTTTACCTGAAGAATGAAACGCTGCGCCATGCCATTTGTCCTGATCCTGAATACAGTTTCCACACCCTTGAGGCCTAACAAAAATATTCACACAGCACTGAATGATGATATTTTAGAGTTGTGTACACCATGGGTAAACATCAATTCTTGGCCGAAGTGCTCATCGCATGCGCCCTCCATATGCTGCCGACATAGACCGCCAGTGTTGCTCCTTCCGAGTCTAGACCACTCCTCACTTTCACCTCTCTTAAACACATATCTATATCGCGAAATCATCAGTAATCATGCTGGGACCAGAATCATTTCTTTTACTCTTTTACTGATCAATCGCCATCATCGAAGATACCGTCCATTACCTCACGACTATTTTCCCTGTTCAGCTGCACGCCCATAACAACAACAAACACCCTTCCTGTCCGCAAAATATCTACAACCTAACACATCTTCTCATTATCTCCAACATGTCAGTCACCAGCACCCCCACCAAAGGCACTAAAGCCGGAGGCTGGACAGATCGCGAGCTCGTAAGTCTCCGTTTCCTCCCCAACATCTCTCAATACCGCTAACCACTCCAGCTCGTCTACCTCTTCGGCCTCGTCGAATACTCTCAAGTTAAACTGGACATCAAGGTGCGAGCAAATCAAGCAGATGACCCCCTTCTTCTATAGCACACACTGAACGAACCCTGTAGAACGCTCCCCGCCCCAACGGCCGTACAGTCCGTGCCTGCGAACAGAAGATTCAGGGCCTAAAGAGCCATCTCAAGGTTGATCTGGAAGCTCTTCGTTCGGGCGCACCTGTCAGCGCTGGAGACGGCACGCCCGTGGCCAAGAAGGGGCGCAAGCGCAAAGGTGATGATGATGGCGATGTCCAAGGTACGCCCACGAAGCGTGGTCGGACAAAGAAGATGGATGCCGAGACTGAAATCGATGAGGATGATGAGGAGACTATTGATGTCAAGGTCAAGAGTGAGATCAAGGACGAGGTCGACATTCTTGAGGAGGAGGTCTGATCGACTGTAGTGCATTATGGTCAGGTGTGGTTAAGGATGGAATCTTTACATTCAAGACATGGCCTGCGCTGGGGAAAGTCTGGTGCTGGTGTTTGGTATTCTGCTCTTGCTTGGGGCTTCATCATGAATGCTCTCTGAATATCATGCTGGATTCGAATTGATTCAGTCGACATTAGTCAACACTCTCCTCCGCACTGTATCTACCTAGCTTGAAGATCAATGCAATGAATCAGCATATACAATCACATGATCCACCAAACTAACAATCATTACAGCCATCCGCATGGCCGCATAACCACCTAATTCTCCTTCTCTCTCATCTCACCATCACACAATCTCCATGGTACAGGCCAGCACACAGCACCTTAAACAACGTCCCCCTCCTTCCAACCACACTCTCACCACACCCACCAACTGCTATCTTACCTCACACCGAGTCCCCCCAAAACCCACAATCAAAACCTAGTTTTAAATTCCCAAACAGACCCCCATCCCCAACCATGTCCGACAACGAAGCCACCAAAGCCGCATCCGCCAACCGCTGGACCGACCGCCAACGCGTAATACAACTCCTCCACCCCATTCCATCCCACGAAAATCCCACACACAGAGCATACTAACAACTACCCCAGCTAGCATACTTCTTCAACCTCGTCGACTACTCCAACGTCAAGCTCGACTATGCCGTATGTCCCCCTCCCCTTTCCTTTACTTCTCTCCAAAACCTCCCAAACACAACCCAACCCGAAACCTAACCTAACCTAACAACATCTCCCCGCAGAACGCCCCGCGCCCGGACACGAAATCCGAGGGCGCATGCCGTATCATGGTACAGCGTCTCAAGGGCACCTTGAAGGATGAGCTTGAAGTCTTGAACGCTGGGGTCTCGGGGGTGAATCCTAATAAAGAGGGTGGTGGAGGTGGTGGTGGTGGTGGTGCTTCTGGTGCTGGTACGCCGAAGAAGATGGTAGCTGCTGCCGGTGGTACAGATACAGGGACAGGGACACCGCGCAAGCGCAAGGCCAAGGGCAGTGCGGAGGGCGAAACGACGCCGGTGGCGAAGCGGGGACGCAAGAAGAAGGGTGGGGAGGTTGCTGTTGGGGAAGAAGGGGAGATGAAGGTCAAGGAGGAGGTTGAGGAGGATGGTGGTGAGGCTTAGGTATACTGGCGTATTTCTTGCGGGGGAAGACGGCTTCGGAGTATGACTGTCGCCCTCTGACTCTCGGCCTTTTGCGTACTGGATGGCTTGTCTCCACTTCTTCATCGATGAGCTCTTCTTGCAGCTCAGTGTTGTGGGCAGATAAGGCCACATTGGTGTCATGCTGGGAAATGGGAACTGGCATCAGCGAAATGAAAATCGATTGGGGTATCTAAGCTATCTCCTACTATGCTTTCTTCCATCATGATAAACACTATGCAAACATCTCGCCCGTTACATACACGTCATTATCGTCCGATTTGTGACCTGTCATATACAACACTCTGCAAGAATTGTGAGACTGAAATCGTGTCATACGCTGTACTATCTCCATGCCGGTCAAAGTCAGCCCGTGTCTTGATACATCATCATGACGTGATTTTGGAGACGTCAATGTGAATCATGACGGTTTTGGAGTCGTTGTGTGATAACCTCTGGTTTTAGAAATTGAGGCCTCATGCTCATCGTGAATAATCGGGTTTCGTGGCTTTATTGACAACCGGTGGCGGCCCATCATCATCTGGATACGGCAGTGGCGCACCCGGTGGTGGTCGAGCAAAACTTGATCCAGCTGGCGGCGACGTTCGCGCAGCACTCGGTAGACCCACCGGCCGCAAGTCAGCTTCCATGGGTGTCTTGGGAGGTCTCGGAGGCGCTTGTTGCAACCGATCCTCGAAGCTTGGAGTGAGACTGGACATGGATAAAGGCCGTCCAACTGCCGAGAACTGCTCGTCGGATCGACGCCCCAGAGACGTGAAGTCGCCAGAATGTCGGGGTAAAACATCACTGGTTACTACTTGAGGGAACTCATCTGAGGAGACGGCCAGGTATTTAGCATCATCAGATGGCCGGCGATGAGGTGCAGGTATAGGTCGCAATGCAGGATGGAGGCTGGCAACATATTCCGGTGTGAGCTCCTCTGCTGGCAACTCAACTGCCATAGGGTGAGGATCGGGTATGGTCGGAAGAGGCTTGTTTGGTGCTTCTGCGCCTGCGTATGGCGATATATTTTTCTGTGTGCGCTCCCATCGTAGCTTTGCAAAGTGTATGCGAGCAATCTTGGCGGCTGAGTCTAATGTAATGGCCTGGACGTTCTTCTCGGCGAGGTACATGCGCGTGTTGGTGCTGATGTCGGCGAGCGCGTTCCACTCATTCATTCCAAATTCACCAACACCTACATGGACATTTAATCGATAGTAGTTCTCCGGGTTGACTTGACGCTTTGCGAGGTGGTCCTTCATTGCTAAATGGGTCTTTTCGCAATCCTCAATCTTCTGTATCAGCCTTCGTCGTGCTTCAGCAAAGTCTCCAATGCCGCCTGAGACAAAGCCTTCCCACCAGAGGTGTTGTTGGTTGTTGGTGCCGTCCGGTCGCTTGCCTGTACCGATGCTGATAAAGACTCCGACCTCCCTTCCAGGCCATTCATTGCAGACAGCCTCGTCAAGCACCATCGGCGCAGGATTATATTTCCCAGTGCCCTCATCGAGGAAGACAGATTGGCCAATCTGAATGGGCTTGAAGGCCAAGGCAGTGGCGCAAGTGGCTCGTCCTGCTTGCCAAATCGTCGCATTCGGTTCGACGGGGGGTTCTTTGCGTGAATCATACGAGCGGAGAAAGATCTGGCCGGTGCCCGCCTTCTTGGTGCCTTTGTAGACAGCTGTGACGGCTCTGGTTAGTGGTCAGCACATACACAATCAAGAGAACGCGACAGTACCCACGTCTTGGTACGCTCTTCGCGGTTGTCGTAGAGCTGTGCGTGCGGGTTGCCCCATTTCATCGCCGCCATGCGCATATTCACTGGCGACGTCCCAATCTGGCTATATCGGCTGGCGTTGCTAACGCTTCGTTCCATGCGCCGGGGCATTGCGCTTCCTGGTGTCATTGGCGTTTGAAGGTCTGCGGAGGATGCCAGTCCGCCATGGTTGTCGTTGCCTTCGTCGTCGTAGATGGTGTGTTCGCGCACGCATTCCATAATAGCCTCCTCCAACTTGGATGCCTTGAACAGAGTCGATCGATAGGGGATTCCAGCAAACGTCTTATCCGTCTCAAAGACACGCCTCGTCATGCGCACATAGACGTCTTTGCACGTCTCCACGTCCATCCTCAGGCGGCCCAACATAATGGCAATCAGGCCTCCCGTGCCAGTGCCTGCTATCAGGTCGAAGTGCTCGCATGGCTTGGGTACTTCGTGGCGCTTGGGTGCTCTGCCCTCAGTTTCGACAAAAGTTCGGTGCATCAACTCTTGGAGGATGATGAGCATCGAATACCCCCGCACACCTCCGCCATCTGATGCCCGCATTAGCTCTTTGGCCACGATTGAGAAAGTTGCCCTCGACGCCTACCTAGTGATAGAATACGCAAGGGAGGCCCTTTTGTCGTATCTTTCCGTCGGATTCCGTTGTTTGCCATTGCGTATGCGATCTTTGGGTACTTTGCGCGACTACCCGCGCCTTTCCAAGTGGACTCACAGGCCAAGGACGGACTCACGGAGTTGGCCGCGTGAGCCTTGATCAGCTGTCCGGTGATGTTGGTGCGAGAAGTTTTTCTGGGCTGACAATGTCTGCTGATGCCTGAGGGTTTGCAGGCCGTGGGCTGTCGTTTGTCAGACTGCGCGGGCTGCGTAACCCTTCACAAGTTGGCCGTACAGGAAGAAATGTCAAGTACGGTAGTGAAGAGTCCAAGAGTGGCTATGTAGACCAAGTCTGGGCGTGCGCGCCTTGAAAGCGCTCAACAATGCTTCTGGGGAAAAAGTTGGAAAAGACCGGTGGTGCCGTGTAGGAGAGAGAGCAGGAGTCATTTGAGCAAGCGCCTTGGAGGTTTGCACACGTGTAGCCGCGTCTTGACCTTTTCAAGGTCGCAGTCAGGCTTCGTGAGTAATTCACTGAGCGTCTTCCTGCGTCACTGCCAAGCCATTCGAGCCGAACATGCACAGCCACAGCGCTCGGGGTGCTTTTGACCAACCACAGGCCTCGTTTGCCTTGTAGTCAAGCGTCCCATGGCAGGATATCCTTACCTAGAAGGCTGGCAAACTCCAACTGGTGGGACTCGCAGTCCACTACTCTAGAGTATCCATCCAGCGCCGTTGCTATCTACCGGTTTCCAGCGCGAGATCTTCGGGCCTGCAGCGGGAACTTGTCGACCCGCTTTTCACCGGCAGGAACATGACATCCACCAGCGTCTAGAGTACTGTGAGGTGATTCAGTTCTCCTGGACCAATAACTGACTGCTGATTGTGGTGCTTCACAGAAGATCCCGGCTTCTCCCATCAACACGCAATTGTACCGGTATTGTAGAAGATTCAGCCAATGAAAATGACTCAAGTGGAGGAACGCCAACATTCGCAGGCATTTTCTTCATCGCATCCACCTCTTGTGATGCCTTGCACAAGCTGGACACTTGTGGTGTTGGGGAGTCTGGGACGAGGCATCATGGTCTCCAATATGGTGGAATCTGCAAAGGGTGTGGATTTTGGCCCATGTACGTCACAGAAACTAATTCATATGATCCTGCCATTTGTGCAATGATCTGGAAATAAGGTACGTGTCAAGCAAGCCGTTTAAGTGGTACTATGGTACCGGTGGCCTTGAAGGATGCGTTGTTAACTTGACCACGAGTCTACAAGACCTACGGTACCTAGGTAGGTACCCTGCAACGCTTGGACAGTCATCCATCCCCGCTATCAGAGACTGTTTCAATATAAATAACTACAAGGCTCATCATCATATGTTCCAGAAGCTGCCAAGATATGCGCATTGCCGCCGAGGTTTGCAAGGTACTGTAGTTTCAGAGCAGAGCACCACATACGTTGTCTCTGGGTACTCCTAGCGCCTTAATTAGGGCGCGCACGTGGGGTCCAAGTCGCCATCCAACCGTTCCTTTGCGAGGTCGAAGGAATGCTACCAAGACTCACTGTCCTTTTCTCCCATCGTGCAGAGACTTCTGCAGAATTCACTTCTGGAGCTCATTCTCCATCATGAGTGCGTTCGCGGAGGAGCGCCACTTCGACATTGAGCGCGTGTCGCCAATATGGCTCATCACAGGTCTATGTGTAGTGCCATTTACGGTCTACTATCTCTTGAACTTTCTCAGCCCGCTGGTTCACAGGTTGACGGCTATGAAGATATCGGCAGTAAGTGTATTGAGCTTTCGGTCAAGATGTCGTTTGCTAAAGTTACAACAGATCTATATCTATCCAATCAAATCATTACGGGCCGTAAGCGTTAGTGAAGCTCTTGCTACCAAACATGGCTTTCAACATGATCGTGCGTTATTGAGCTGTTGATGCTCTGCGTATATTTCTCTGATCAACTGACTAGGACGTTTCATGCTTCTCCAAAAAACCCAAGATGGCTACAAAAACATGGCCATAGGAAGATACCCCGAGATGTCTCAATTCCTGCAAGAAATAGGCCAAGACTCTGTCACGGTCACTTATCGTGCCTTTGGTGCTACAGAAAAGTCCAAAACTATCACAATCCCACTTGAACCCGACACGGAAAAATTAGAACCATTTGAAGTCAACATGCATTCCAGTCCAACATCTGCCTTCAAAATGCCAGAAAAATACAACACCTGGTTCTCCGAATGCTTCGGCTACCATGTCGAACTCGTCTATCTCGGGGAAAACAGACGCGCAGTTTTATTCCAGAACATGCAACCCTTGGAGCCCGATCCACTAACACGCTTCATCAAGAAGCACGTCCCCTTTGCAGGATCCTACGTAGACAAGATCATGGGCCTGCACCAAAACGAGCAGTGGAAAATCGGCTTCGCAGACTGCGCACCATACCTCATCTGCTCCCAGACCTCACTCGACGATGTCTCTTCCCGGCTTCCCGAGGGCGAGGAAATGGACATGACAAAGTTCCGCCCCAACATTGTAATCAAAGGCGCATTCGAAGCCTACCAAGAAGACTACTGGGGCAAACTCACCATCAACAGCGGCGCAGAACTCACGCTCGCACATAATTGCGTGAGGTGCAAGAGTATCAATATCGACTATGAGACGGGCAAAGACGGCACGGGCGCATCGGGCCAGGTGTTGAAAAAGCTGCAGCACGATCGCAGGATCGATATCGGCGCAAAGTGGAGCCCCGTTTTTGGAAGGTATAGCTTCTGGGACCCCAAGAGGCCGAGCCAAACGATCAAAGTCGGGGACAGGGTAAATGTGTCAAAGGTCAACGAGGGATTGACGGTGTGGAGTAAGTATCGGATTCTGGAAGCGACTCGACACAGCTAACAGTGATACAGGTTGGCCAAATCTGGCGTAGTGAAGAGGCAGTATTATGAGGGCTACGGCGTTTCCCAATGCGATGTCTTAGTCTATAATTACCTAGTTCTTTCATAAAAACTACCAAATTATTACCCACCTGGTTACATTGAGCCTCATGTAGCAGCACTGCTTTGTATTATCTCATTCATCATCCTTTTATCTTGTCGTCTGTTCTGTCACTCGACTTCAACGTTCGTTCGCGGCCGTTTTCGCTTGTTCCACCTCATGAGTTGTACCTATATGGAGAGACATCAGCAGCACATTCCCAATATCAAAATCAACAGCGACGCATCTAGTATCTGTCCTCTTCACTCACATCCTGCTCGCATCTCTCAATTTATCGTTGCGACAAAGCTTGAAGAGCTAGTGCTAACACCGTTTGGGCTCTGTGACTTTGCAAACATTAACTGCAGGACCCTGAGGTGCAGACTAATCGTGGTTATGCGGTAAATGGACCTTGAAGGGTGTCTGCTGTGTGCGCTCGTCTGAAGTTTCAAGGAAGTTTCCATGAGTGGCTAGGTGTCAAGAGCTCATTATTATAGGTTTAGAAATGGACTTTGCTAGATACTAGTCATGAATTTGGCTTTTGGAAATAACACTGTTTCAATACACACCTGCCTGCATATACACACTTACACTCTCCGTCCAAATACCCTGAAGCGCTTCACACCCCCATCGGGGATGATGACTAACTTGGCATGCGTGTAGCTCCTACCCTTGACTTCCTTTAGTTCCACGGTATACTTGTGCTCAGTGTCTGGGCCCGTCTTTTGAGGCTCCAATACCTCCACCCACGCAGCATCATCATGCGTAGGATCCTTCTCGAAATTGCCTGCAAAAACCTGTACCTTCTGCGGGAAGTTGCCCCTAAAGTGCGCCGTGTCGATTACAATACGGTCGATTTCCCCCTTTGTGCCTAGGCGCACTATCGCCCAGTCGACGTGCTCACCACGCGTGCGCTTTGTTTCCCAGCCGTCACCCATATCTTTGCCACGTCCGGGGAGGAGAAGGTTGTCCTTTGTACCGAAATGTTGGTCGGAACATGACGTGGCTACACCACCCATGACTGTGGCAGAGAGCTCAAAGACAGCAGATGTATCTTGCGGGAAGACGGGCACGGCAACTCCATAGAGACGAAAACGCGCGATGCCACCATCAGGATACATGAGCAGTCTGACATGTGTGTATGCCTTGTCCGTGATTTTGTCCAACAGCCAGCCGTGTCTTTGGCTAGGTCCACATTCTTGTTTCGCAAGGATGGTCTCCCAGCCTTTGTAGCCTGGTTTCTTGACTTCCTCCTCCTCCTTCTCATCTGTAATGAAAGCACCTTCGACCGCAATTTCGGGTGCGTGGTTTCCATTGAAGTGTGCAGTGTCAATCTCTATGCCTGCTACCTTTCCACTCGCGGTACCCAGTCGTATGACAACCCAGTCAGCGGGCTCGGTATTGTGTCTTCGCGACTCCCAGCCGTCGTACCATGCACCAGTGTGTACGAAGTAGCCAGGTTTGCGAATAGGAGGAGTGGGTGTTATGAGGTTCTCGGCTGCGGCGAAGTATTCATCGCTGAAAGAGAGCACCTTTGAACCAAGAGCTGCGGAGATCAAGTCTAATGGATTGTTAGACAAATATGAAGTTTGATATATTATGATGGCTGTTACCTGTGTATTGCGACTTGAATGTAGAATCGATCTTATCTGCGGGTACAGAGCGAGCTGTGCTCGTAGCCACTTGTTTGACATCTTCTGGGGTGAGTGTGTTAATCTCCATAGTGAATGAAAGTTGCCGTAATCAACGCAGCGAGAGAAGTATAATCGAAAGGAAGAGAGAGAAAGAGAGAAAGGCAAAAAGTACGCGGTTGTTCAAGGCGACAGAGCTACGGCGGGGCATCTTCAGGACGTGGTGGGGTAGCCGAACCCTGAACTTTCTCGGTATAGTGATGGTCGATGGTCGGAGCCCGCCGAACGCCTCAATCTCCTGTGTCGCTATGGTACATGGAATCGGCCCTATCCGTGCGCTGTCTGTTCAGATACTGGCTTGAATAGTCCTTGCGGGTATCAAGGTGCATCAAGGGCGGAGGGCAATCATGCGCTACATTTCGCCTTCTATTAATACGATGCCACCACAACGTATAAGCATGAACATCTTGTATTTAATATACTGTTTTTATATAGGAAAACATTTCTAGTTGTACTACGCATCTTACACCTTTGCTAAGTACTTCCACCATCATAAACTGCTGATGGTGGACGAGCTGCACTAGCTTAACTATCAAGTCCTCAACCATTACTCTACAACTCACTCCTGCTCGCGATCAGAATTACTAGATTAGGAAGGTAGAAAACTGTAGATTATAGCAGGAATTATCACAACTACAATTAGGGTCTCTATTGTGTTTCTAGAGAAAAAGTTATAGTGAAATTACCGCATTAGGAAGGTGAATAAACTGTAGATTGTAGCAGACGACCTTAGGGTTAGGGTTAGGGTTAGGGTTAAGTAGACATGTACTTCACTTCACGCTTCACTTCACGTCCCCAATTTCCCCTTCACTGCTTAGAGTTAAGAGACAAGCCTACATTTTCTGATTCGTAGAGCACTTGTTTCACATTGCTAGAGGGATAGGAAGGTTATCCTAAGTACACCTAAGGATACCAGCAAGGACAAAAGACGTTAAATTTTCCAAGACAGATGGCGGACCAACAAGGCCGAATCTGCTGTAGAGCGAGTGAACGCCTAGCTTCAACCTACTTTGATAGACACACAAGGTGTGTTGGTGATTTCAAGGTGCAGGTGCCTCGAGAGACGTGGAACCGGCGGTCTGAATTTGTTCATTCGGTTATTATCAGGCTCTGCGCTGGCGATACCAACTCCCCAAGCTGCGACCATTGAAACTTCCTGACAGATATAGGTGTCAGAGCGTCCCGTAAGTAAGAGAGTCATCAATGGTATCCACGACTCTCATAAGCTTGTATGGTTATGGCATCAACAAGCCTAATCACCGTCCTCGAGGAGCTTTGAGGTCAGGCTTGAGATAGGCTTGGCTAATCTACAATTATCAGAACCCAGAGATTCTGAAATGCTTGCTTATCATATTGATCAAGGGGGTTGTATGGAATCTCGCAGAGAAGCCTACTCGTCGGCGAAGTTCCTCTATCCAGTTTGTACTTCCTTGTCGTGATCCGCGACTCGACAACCTCGATACAGCGGAAACCCCTTGTCAACTCTATCTAGCAAGGCTGGAGACGTCTATGGCCCCTGGCAATTAGCAATGATGGATTCGTTCGGGTAAAATAGATCTTCACCCATAGGTCTGATCATTCCAAGAATCTTGATCATATCCTACACCGTTCCTGTGGAGTCCACCGCTCAGGTCTAGCTTCGCTAGAAATTCAGGAGGTACGGTCGGAATGTATTTGCGCGCTCTCTCTCTGTTAACCCCTCCAAATCCTGCGCCGTAGCTGATAATCATGTCTGTTGACGTCGGTAGCGAGAACGGCAACATGTATGAGGGGTCCAGAAGGAGCTCATCAGGGGCATCATCCTTCTCCTCTTCTTCGGATATACGCGACGGCGCAGGCGATGGGGAGATCACCGTTTGCGCAGTCGTGGGCCTGACCGGTGTTGTTGGTACAGAGTCTGTTGATCTCTGAGAACGATGAGGTGACCTTGCGCGTGTCGCTTTACGCTCTGCGGCGGCCTTCTGGAGATGCACGATGTACTTGGAAGCGCTTTTCGACAGACTTTTCTCCCCTACTTCCGGCCGATAGTACTTGGCTGTATGTAGAAGTTGTTGGGGGGATAGTCGGGTCAACTGTTGTAACGTTCCTACAAGAGATTCTAGATCCTCGCCAAGCGAAGAGAAGCACTGAAGCCATTGTAGAAGTTGTACCAAGGGTTCGAGATGTCGCTTGGTAGAATCAATGGTATTTTCACCGGTGGATGTCATGGATCCATTTTCGTAGTGTTCTGGCTGTCGATTATTGGACCGTGCCCAGTCCTCCAACGTAGATACATTCATGCGTATCTGCATGGCTTTCGTTCGAGCCAGATACTTGCGATTTGACATAATCCGGTTGAAAACTTCAGCAGAAAGCCAGTAGATCAGTTGCGACAGAACCTGTGCAGTAATGACGGAATGCACATCGTAGAGATCGAGAACAAACAGGGTTGAAGAAAGCAGAGAGGTAATGTTTCGAGGTGAGGGCTGTGCTCGGCGCTTGGGTGATGGAGGGCGGAACCTTTTTTCCATGGGCTCCAATGGTTTCGCTTTTGGTTTGGAGCGGAATATCTTCCATTCATGTTGAAAATGTACATCCTCAAATCCGGGCATGGGTTCATGGTCAAGCATAGCCTGATCCAGATTCTTATCCATTCTACGTTCTGCGTCTCGAATGATCAGTATGAATATCTCGTTGATGAGCTCTGCCATTTGTTGCTGGAATTCACTTGTAGCTCCCATCAGGCCACCGTCTTTCTTGAGGTAATGCAATAGGAGTGTGGCATTGGACATCCAGAAGGCCAAAACAGTCATGTCCCATTGGTGCTTCTCAACAACGTCGTTAATCTTGTTCATTGCAGAAACCAGCAAGGTTTCCAATAATTCTGGGTGGGCGTGGTAATGTGCATAGCGGGCACTAAGAAAGAGGATGTTTGCGGGAACTGGCTTTTGCGAGGGAGATCGTTGCGGCGTCATGTTGGTGATAACAATGTCGAGAATGCGCTCAAGTTCGCTTTCTTGGAAGACAAACATCTGGTCATTGAGACATCGGTCCCATACGAATTCCTGTGCTTCTTCTTCTGGCTCCTCGGGTGACTGCATCACGTTAGCATAATCTTCGAGGAATATGAGTAGGACATACTTCTGACTGCTCATCAAGACCAAGGTTCCCAATATCCACTTCCAAGTTAAACGCGCTCTCCATCATCATCCGTCGTTTCATGTCATTCTCTTGCATCTCCTGCTCGAAGCGATCCTGGGAGAAGCCAGAACTGTAGAAGTCATCGCTAACGCCAGCATTGCCAATGGCGTAACCGCTCTCGTGAAGATAGTCGGAAAGCTCACTGTTGGGCTCGACGAAATCGAATGCGGTACGGCCACCAGAGGACTTCACATCCGTAGAGGCTCCATGATCGAGGAGGAGCTTAACGATGCCCTTGTGTCTGTTGGTCATAGCCCACATCAACGGGGTCCAACGATTCCTATCCTGCATGTCGACTATTGCCCCTTGCTCTATAAGTGTGGCGGCTACATCTTCATGTCCAAAGCAGCTCGCGTACACCAGCGGTGGCGTTCCTTCGGCATCGACCCCGTTGATGTTGATGTAGTCCTTTGCCTTGCCCTCGAGTAGCCGTTTGACGCGTTCGAGCTCGCCGTTGGACGCTGCAAGAGTGAACAGTCCCTGTAAAGCCTCTTTTTTCTCTTCATCCGACAGCTTATCGTCGGCCACCACCTTTGCCTCATCTCCAGCGTTGTCGTTCTTCAAACGGGCCTGGTGTGCAAGCATCTGTACCAATCGGCTATCGCTGTCTTCCAGATGCTGCATATCTTCGTCGCCAAAAGTCGGATCGTCCAGTGAGAGATTGAAGCTCAAGGGCTGTGCGGGCATCGGAGTGGTAAGGAACTGTGACTGACCTGTATATCGTGTTAGATGACCCTAACCTCGCGTTAGTCCTGCCGCAGACTGACCCTGCCATGCATCGTAGATTTCGGTTTCATCGTTCATGATGCGCACTGTCCGCCTGTCATCAAGGGAGGTGGGAAGGTCAGCGGGGAGCTTTCGAGGCGGCTCCCCCAGATCGCCTGTGAAGGCAAGGTCGTGTTCGGGAGAGGCCATTGTGTGACATCGAAAAGGGCAAGACTATAGGGACCAGAGAAGTCGATGAGGTAATGGGGTCTGGTCAAAACGTGCCTACCGCCGTGGGGTGATGCATGTGGGTAGGCCTGTCGAGGGAGACTCGGTCGTTCGAGCGTAGTGGGGGATTGTTGCACGGCAGCCGCAGCCAGTAGGCGACCGAAGCTTAATTCTGAGTAGCCTGCAAGTGATCCGACGTCAGATGAAGCCGCCAAAGAGGAGGGTTGTTTATTTGTGGCCGCCTCACCAATGGAAAATAAGAATACTGAAGGCTGAGTGATGTGATGTCGTTGGACAGTTGGGACCACGATGATGTCGCTCCAGCCTGCCAGAGTCCAGAGAGCCGCCAGCTTGCCGATCTGCGCCAGACCCAAAGGGGACATCCGCGCGGGGTGGGGCCCTGTTGTAGGCAGCCACCTTGCTAGGTACAGTGTGAATGAATAGGTACGGTGTAGGTGAGCAGGTCCTTGCCAAAAGCCCCGGTAGCTATCAGACGTGTAAAGAGGGACGTTATGGACAATCTCAAGGGTAAGTGGCACCTTTCTAAGCCTCTCAGATGCACACGACGGCCAGGACCTACGGGGTAAGTACAAGGATACGATGATGGTTGATCTTGGAGTTTTGGTGGGGCAATAAACACACGAAGAACCTCGTAGAGACTCGTAGTCTTGCAGAAAGAAGACTCTACTTTCGAATCTAGACACGTGAGATTGGTCCCTATAGTCTCTAATTCCATACTCTTCCGGACACTCTTGTTATCCGCATGACCTGTCATGCTCATTCCCAACAAGTGACACAAATGTATACCGTACTCACCACAAGCCTCAACCTGCGACATAGGTAGGGCCGTTTTGCGAAACCCTACTGTAAGCCCAAAGAGGGGCGCTAGGCAGCGCATGGTGGGATTCTAGAGCGTGCGGACTTCATCGAGCTGTCGGGGCATCAGTAAGCATTCTGCTGGCGACATAACAACAGATACCGTCCCTAAACCTTTGCTGCTGCTGTCGCTGCTGCCGTTTGCTACTGCTGCTGCTACGTACCCCGTGCACCTTCGGTCCGCCATCACCATGAGTCTCGCCACCGCTGTGACTGTGTAATCCCGCGCGCCAGTCAATTCCACCCCCCATCCCACACCCCACCAGAGAGCATGCCTCACGAGCGCAACAGCCACGACTTCTAGGACAATGTCGACAGAAGGAGAAAATGGGAGGACGGCGCGCTTGTCCCATATCTTTGGGCGCCTACTAGAGCTTCAAAACTACGTCTGGGATCCAGAGATCGCGCCCTTTCACTCGGTGCGTTCGCCCTGCCTGGAGACTTCGTGAAGCATGCAACTAATGTCATCAGTCATACTCCAACTGGCATATATTTGGGTACCAGAAGACTGCGCGAGACGAACGCCCGCTTTCCAGGGGAAGGAGCGCCGTCATCACATCCCCCACTACATCACACTCGCCCGATGCCAGCCGACCCTCGCTCACACGCAGCCACCGCTCCAACGGAAGCGATGTGAGCGCAGCCACGGCAAAGGGGCTCCACCCACTGGCGACAACGACAGCGACAGATCAGTGGCGCCAAGGCCGCCCCGTCGTGTGCCGCATATCACACCAAACGCTGCGTCTGGAGCGCGAGTTTCAGCTCTCAAAACTGGTAGTCAAGGAATCAGATCCAAATTGTAGACATTTTGTCCGCCCCATAGAGTTTGTGCGCTTCACGACAAAGCCCGGCGAGGAGCCCTTGGCAGCCAGCATATTCGAGGCTCCAGGCCCAAATTTCCTCAATGAGCTTGTGACATTCGGGCCCAATTGGTACAAGTTCACCCAACACCAAAGCAATTGGCAATCTCACGCCTCGCAACGGAAGCCGAACCTGGGAGTCCCTCTCTTGACCTTTCTCGACTTTGCTGTCGGAGCCACAGAGTGCTTGGAGATCCTGCACCATGGACACGAAGTCGTGCATGGAGAGTTGCGAGGGGATGCCTTCCATTTCGCGGAGAGTGGTATGGTAAAAATGATCAATTTCGGAAGTGGCGCCCGATCCTTTGAAAATGGCCTCACCTCTGCTGGATGGAACACACTGAGCCGGGAGGTAGGCATTGAATTGAAGCTTGCATTCATTGCTCCAGAGCAAACAGGGCGTATGCCAGCCGAACCAGACAGCCGAACTGATATCTACAGTCTCGGAATCATTTTCTATACTATGCTGTGTGGGACCACGCCATTTGATGGGCCCACCGCTTTGGACGTAATGCAGAATGTCATCAGCAAAAGGATCCCACCCGTCAGCTCTCAACGCATCGATGTCCCAGAAGCTCTTTCTCGGATCATACAAAGGATGACCCAGCGTAACATAGAAGACAGGTACCACTCAACCTCAGGGCTGAAGTCAGACCTCATCCGTATCCGCGAATTACTCTGCGAGGGTGATGTCCAGGCATTGAAAGCATTTCAAGTCGGCTCCAAAGATATCAACTGCTTTTTCAACTTACCTCTGAAGCAAATCGGACGCGAGACTGAGCGGCAGAAAATTGTCGATATCATTGAGCGAGTCTCAAAGCACCGCCGGACCAGGCTCACAACATTGAACAGTATGAGCTCCAACTCCTCATATTCCGACCAGCGCCTAGAACTACAATTTGACGATATTGTCTCGGACAGTACTAGCTCTTTAGGATCAGAGAGTCGACCAAATAGTGTTCCTACTAATGGGACGCTGGAAGTTTGCCCGACCTCGCAGCAGCGTTCACAAGAAGGCACGATTCTGTCAGACGATTCAAGTACAGAGAAGACATCTGGTAGTCGGCCTCCCCCTTTAACTTCGAAACGGGGACACTCCAACAACAGCCTCGAGGGTGCACTGACACAGTCCCGATCCAACCAATCCATCAACCTGTCTACTGAAACCTTGGCTCTTCGCCAGACACCGAGTTCCCGAAGGTTGAGGCGCCAATCTCGCTGCGAAATCATCGCAATCGGTGGATCCACTGGTCTGGGCAAGTCGCGCCTCATCCAGAGTGTGCAAAGTGCGGCGAGGAGTACAGGATACTTTGCCATGGCAAAATTTGATTCTGCCAAAAAAGTTCCCTTTGATCCCATTGTGAAGATCATGTCGTCTTTGTTTCGGCAAATCTTCAGTGAAGCAGATGTCACCACTGACTTCCACAACAGCGTGCGCGGTCTTTTGAGAAATTCAGGTGTGTGGACTGTACTCCGTGCCTATCTCGATTTACCCGAGTGGCTGCTCAATACTGGAGGGAACCCAAAGACTCCACACCAAACAGACGTGGACCTTGCCAAGGAGATGCAGCGGCGCGCTTCATCACCTGCTATCCATTGTGGTAGTGCGGGACATACTGCTGATGCTTGGCTACGCAGCGGGGGCGCATCGAAGTCGTCCAGGTTCATGAGTGTGTTCATTGACGTATTGCGATTGCTTACGATGCAGAAATTATGTATCTGGGCCCTCGAGGATGTGCAAAACGCCGATCCGGAGAGTGCGGAGTTAATTCAACATATCGTCCGAGCAAAGATTCCACTTATTTTGATCCTCACTCATGTGGACGAAGAGACATTGCCGCGCGAGTTGAGCCCCTTGTTGCGTAGTGCAACAAGAATCCAATTACTACCATTCACCGAGGTACGTAAAGTTCAGGGTCATATTCTGATCACCAGTTCCTGGAAGACTACTTAGCATGTTGAGTAAACTGGCGACCTTTTCAAGTGCTCCATGAGTGGGATGGCGGATTGCTTTATGACCGCCCATCAACTACATGCTGACTTTCCAAATAGGCCCAGACGGCGGATTACGTGGCCGAGACGCTTCATCGTGATCATCAATATATACTTCCTCTTGTAGCTGTCGTCCAGGAGAAGAGTCGAGGCAATCCTTTCTTTGTTCGGGAGATACTTGATGAGTGCTACAGGAAAAAATGTGTCTTCTATTCCTGGCGAGAGAACAACTGGCTTTTCGATCTGGATAGAGTATTCGAGGTTTTTGCGGGCCCGGAATACGGCTCATCTGTCACAGGAGACTTCATTACGAAACGTCTTTTTGAGCTGCCCTCTGACAGTCGCAAGCTTCTTGCGTGGGCGTCTCTACTTGGCGGGACCTTTTCCTTCGACTTCATCAAGCAGGTCTTGGACCCGAAAGAACGATGGCCACCCGAGGCCAAAATCCCGGTTCTTGCCGATGGGGAAAGCGCAATAAAAGCGCTCAGTGGCGCGCTGGATGCCTATATCTTGATGCCAGCCGAACAAGATGCTCGATTTAGATTCAGTCATGATCGGTACTTGGCTGCAGCTGCCAATTCACTGGAGAAAGAGTGGGATTCTCAATTGATGCACTACCTAATAGCCAAGACAATAACGTCTAACGATGATGACCGCGGCGAACCAGTGCTTGGATCCAAAGCTCTGTACATGCGCAGCCGCCACATCTGCCTCGCAACCGAACTCATCAAGACAAGAGAGACACATCGTGCTCCGTTTCGAGACATACTTTATCAAGCTGGAGAGACCGCATGCGAATCTGGTGCGCGCTCTACAGGTACGTTACACGAACCAAGCGATGCTCCCCGAATGAGTTGCATTTGCTCAGTCTCATTGACGTCGGAATAGGAATATATTACTTTGTGCATAGCCTATCACTTTTGCAAGATGATCCATGGGACGACTCACGGCCGGATGTATCCTACCAGGAGACGCTGCAATTATTTGTACGATCTGCAGAATGCTATTGGCATCAGGGTATGCTCGATGAAGCGCTCTCCCTCATCCGCACCACGTTCAAGAACGCTCGCGATCCCTGTGACATGGCAAGCTCTTTCATTTTGCAGTCTCGAGTGCTTGCGATTAGGGGAGATAGTTTCAGTGCCTTTCAAGCTCTTAAGGATTGTCTGTCATTGCTTGGATCATCTATACCCCCTACCACCTGGGAAGAGTGTGACTTGGAGTTTCAAAGGATATACAATGTTTTGCAAAACACCGACATGGACCAGTTACTGATGCCTCGACAACCCAGTTCACCACAGGGTATTGATCAAGACGAGCTATCCATGCGCTCCCAATACAGTGCCTTACCGATCCTTAGCACAGACGATTCCCCTTTACATCAACCGGCCGCCGACCGCAAACTGATGACCATTGGCTCAGTATTTATTGAACTACTGAGTGCTGCTTTCTGGTCGAACAGTCTGTTATTTTATCAGGGGACTCTCAAGTTGATTAACATACACCTTGAGCAAGGAATAATACCACAAATTGCACTGGCATATTTGCATCTCGGCACCATCGCTGGAGGTCGTTTCAACATGATCAAATTCGCCGTCGAAATGGGAGCAATGGCAAAACGTCTCTTCGCGATGTTTCCCCATGAGCACTATACGCTTGGTCGCGGGCAAACTCTGCAGACTTTGTTCCTGGGACATTTGGAAGCGCCTATAGGGGACCTGCTACCAAGCTTGGAAGACGCTCTACAGTCATCTCTCACTGTCGGTGATCGCCTATTGGCACTGCTTAATCTTGGCACCCAAGCACATTTGAGAGTTTTTGCTGGCCATGATGTGATGGAGCTGGAAGCATGGATTGAAGAGATATCACTAGAAATGCGAGATTGGCAACAAGACATGCACGGCGGTGTTTTCCTACTAGCATGTCGTCAATACGCACGAGCACTTCAAGGCAAGACTGGAGTCTCATCTGGAGAGACCTCTTTCTCGGATCACGAGCATAATGAAGAAGAGTACATCAGGTTCTTGGAGCTGACAGCGAGTAATCCGAAACGACCGAAGTCCATCTACTTGGCTATCAAACTTCCCGTATTGGTTCTTTTTGGACATATATCAGATGCAGTTGCGCTTGGAGAGATCCTACTCCCTATGCTCAGTGGTCTTTGGTGCGAACGGCTGGTCTATTCTGTCAAGTTTTATCTTTCGATTGCGTACGCAGCGACAATACTGGATAAACCCGATCATCCACGAAGAAAGGAGATGATACAGTTCGCGAAAGACACTGTAAAATTACTAGAAGCGTGCTGCACTGTCACAGATGTCAATTATAAGGGATGGCTTCACTTGTTGAGAGCTATGCTAGCAGATATCAACGTTGATCCTCCTTCGGCATTACAGAATTACGAAGCAGCGATGGATCACAGCGAGATGCATGGATTCGTCCTGGACGAAGCCTTCTCCCATGAGCTGTATGCAGAATGGCTAGTTCAGAAGAAAGCCCATCGGACTGCGCGACACTCGCTGAAAGATTGCATCTCAACATACAGAAGGCTGTCAGCGCCGGGCAAAGCCGACCATGTGGCGACGAAGTACGAGTGGCTTCTACGAGGTGGTGCTTCGCTCACCACGATGGATGCTGCTGTACAGACAACCATCATAGACACTGGAAATAGCTCTTTCAAACTTGAGCGAAACGATGACCAGGAACAATTCCTCGGCGCCGAGACTGCTGTGGACAGGACCCAAAATTGGATTGGTCCTGAGAGTGGTAAACGACATGAGTCTGCGCAAGACCTGCACAGCGGATTCTCGGCTATAGGTCTTGATATGCTGGATCTAAGTTCTATCTTGGAATCGAGCCAAGTCTTGTCGAGCGAGCTCCAAGTAGACAACCTCATGGCTAAGATGGCTTCTATCATCTTGGAGTCGACTGGTGCCACGCTGTGCGGCATTGTCATTGAGGACTCTACAGTCGAATGGAGTATCGCATGTATAGCGACCAATGAGCCGGACAATGACAGCGGGATTATTTCAGGTGTTACTTCGTTCCCTGCAGCGCAACCTCTGAACACGGTCGATGACGTGGTGGCCCGACAGGTGACGATGTATACATTGCGTTTCCGGGAGACTGTCTTTGTGCAAAACCTCCTGGAAGACGATCGCTTCTCAAACGTCTCAGAGTCCTACCTCAAGCGTAATCCCGAAGGCAAAGCTGTGATATGTATTCCTATTATCCACTCTGAGCGTCTACTGGGTTCCATCTACGTCGAGGGGCCGGCAAACTCTTTCACAGAGCGGAATACACAGGTTCTTCGCCTGCTTGTCAATCAGATCTCAATCTCGTTGGCAAACGCGTTACTTTTCAAGGAAATTGAACGAGTTAGCGCAAGTAATGAGGCCATGTTGGAAATGCAGAAGCGTGCTCTAGCCCAAGCAAGAGCAGCTGAGATCAAGGCAAAGGAGGCAGAAGCAATTGCAATACGTAATATGAAACTCAAAGAGGAGGCTGCGAAGGCTAAGAGTCTCTTCCTTGCCAATGTTTCTCACGAATTGAGGTACGATTACTATACTGCACCTGCAACACCTTGAGCTAACCACTGACCTAATTTAGAACACCCCTGAACGGCGTTATTGGTATGTCTGAGCTACTGAAGGCATCCCCACTTAACGGAGAGCAAGCAGGTTACGCTGATTCCATCCGTGTGTGCGCCGACACGCTACTGTCCATCATCAACGATCTTCTTGATTACTCTAAGCTTGAGGCTGGCAAGATGAACGTCATGGAGATGCCATTGTCCTTGAACGAAACCATCACTGAAGTCGTTCGCGCCTTGGCGTATACGAATGCTGAGCGTGGTCTGAAGACCATTGAAGAGCTCTATCTGGATCCTGAGATGCTTGTGATGGGTGATCCAGTTCGTCTACACCAAGTTATGATGAATTTACTGTCAAACAGTTATAAATTCACGCCCAGAGGTTCTGTGACGGTACGAGCGGTTGTCGATCAAGAGGCGGATGATTGGGTGGACATTACTTGCAGTGTTATTGACACAGGCATTGGCATACCAGAAGAGCAGAAGAAAAAGTTGTTCCTCCCGTTCTCACAGATCGAATCGTCCTCTGCTCGCAGTTACGGTGGCACGGGTCTTGGCCTTAGTATCTGCAAGGCATTGATTGAAAACGTTATGCACGGCAAAGTCTGGCTAGACAGTGTACCTGGAAAGGGTACGACAGTCTCCTTTGCGTTGCGATTTCAGAAAGTGCGACGAGAACAAGGCGCCTCAGACCGCCCGAGGACACGTGAGCCGGACCCAATGGCAAGATTCTCCAGTCAAGAGAACAACGGTCATGAACAATCGTCGGGCAGTTGCATTGACCTTACCATGATACCACGCAACGAACTAAGAATCTGTATCGCTGAAGACAATCTCATTAATCAACGTATTGCGATCAGCTTCGTCCAAAAGTTAGGGTTCAAGTGCGACGCCTACCTGGACGGTTTCAAGACTATCGATGCACTTGAGCGAGCCAGTGATAATGGACGGCCGTTCCATCTCATCCTAATGGACGTGCAAATGCCACACTGTGATGGCTATGAAGGTAAGATTCCGATATCTCGACCCGATTACACTAAGTGGAAGTCCCCAGGCACTAACAGTCATGCAGCAACTCAGCTCATAAGGAAGCATCCCAACCCCGAAATCAGGAACGTTCTCATCATCGCCATGACCGCCTCCGCCATTGAAGGGGACCGCGAAAAGTGCTTGAATAGCGGGATGAACAATTACCTCGCCAAGCCTGTACGCGCGCAAACGCTCAAAGCAATGCTCGAATCGTACTTGAATAAAAACAATGAAGTCAAAGACGTGCCTGACCTGGCAGCCGAAGCGAAGGAAATGGTGAATATGGCGTTGAACGAGACAGACAAGCCAGCACCAGCCGACACAAGCAACGGGTCAATAGTAGCCAAGAAAGCTATGGAAGGGCAAAATGCAGGAGAGGATGGAGAAAGCAAAATCAGAAGTCGGCCACCGAGCGTGAGGAAAATTACTGCACAGAGAATTAAACCAAATGGGGAGAGGGAAGATGTGCCTTCTCCGTTGAGTGATGATGAGGTGGTACCCGAGAGCCATTGATGACTGCTTTCTTACCTATCGGACTCGTTGGGAGGTTTGCATTCGGATATTTGGGCGCATCATGGTCTGGCGTTGAGGGCAGAATAAGCTTGCGTTATAAAAATGGGTTTCTATTTCACATGGGCTGATTGGGCGGCAGTGTTTTGCAACTTTGAGGGGTTTCGCTGGTTTCTGTGGGGAACCCTTGAACTGCTTTTGTGGATATATGGAGGTCTTTTGCAAATATTGCATCTCTTATGGATATATATTTGGAATACGGGTACGGCGAAAAAAGCAATGGAACGTTGATGTAGCTTTGGAGCAGGTTTGTCAGAATACCTACCGCGTTGCGTTGCAGTTCTGCGAGTATCATCCCCTATGTAGTATTTATAGATGGTAATTATGCACCCTGTATAGAGGTCGGAATGGTAATGTACATTGATGGATATAGGGCCGGCCATACACTCTTGTTTGGTGATAGAAGTGGCAAAGAGTAAGGTATCAACAAGTGAATAGTCAGACTGTCTTTCCACCGTACTGCGACACTCATTCATCCATCACTAATCGCGCCAAATCACACCCTCTACCCTCTGCAAGATCAAAATCCCGCATCAAATCCAAAAACGAACCTAAAATCAACCCCATTCTCGTATTTCAAATGGCTTCCTCAAAGCTAGCCATCCACCACCGTACCAACCGTATCTAGCCACGCCAATCACCGAGCGCACAGATGGTGGACCGCGCTTGGGTGAGATCTTCGTACACCCACGAGTGACTCGCCGCCATGCCATGAAACTCTGCCAGTTTTTCTAGAAGTACGAGAGGTGCTCACTACAAGTAAGCCCCAGCAACACACAGGCTTACCGACACCATGCTCAACGTTCACACGACCTATAGGTACCGGAAGCTATCGTAAAAGAAAAATATCACACCCTTTGCAGATCCCACTAAACCTCCAGACAATACCGCCGAGCCACGGACACCAAAGCGCCAGTGATTATCCCAATTCACTGACTATACACAGTACAGTCCACACAGCGTATTATACAAGTATACTCCTCCCTCCGCACACAGTACCTACACAAAACACGTCCAGCCGAAAACGCATTCACGCCACAGACTCAACACCCCCCCAACCCAATGCACCGAGCCCACGACCTAATACTCACACATCGCATGCAAACCTCCCTCCCTCGCACAACACAACAACCCACCAAACCCAGCGCCCAGACCGCCTCCCCCCACCCTCTCCGCCCCAAAACCACGCACCCCGCGCAGACCAAAACGGGCCCTGCGCCACGCACACCCAACGTGTCTGCGTGTGGCTTACGCACGCTTTAAAGTATCGAGGCCCCTGCGCATCAGCACACTAAGGTATCGCCGGTAGACGTAACGTTAACGTACACATACACATACACATACACCTAATTGTGCGAATGTATTTTGTTGCGTGGATATCGTGAATCAGCCTGGAACGGGGGGGGGGGGGGGGGGGGGGAAGGGTTGCGTCACCGCACGCGCCTGCTTTCTCGGGATAATCGGCATGGTTATGGTTTGTGCTTTTTTGGGGGGTTTTGGGGTGTTTGGCATGGGGGCGACGTGTGCGTTTGGATTCGTGGGTCGTTGGGGTTGGATGATTTGACTTGGGTTGTGGGTTTGTGGGTTCGGGGGGAGAGGGGGGAGGTGCTTTGGTTCTTTCATTCTTCCGGTCACCTTTTGTATCTTTCCATCTCGATTTTTCTTGTTCGTGGTAGAAATTTAGTCATAGTACTTTTTTCTTCTTCCTTCCTGGGGTTTAGGGCTTCTATCTGAACTGAAGAGAAGTCAATATGACATTTACATCTACATCTCGGCCAAAGCGTCATGCTTCCTCACTCTTCCATCGGAGTCCCAGCAGGCCAGCTTCGGAACACTCGAGCGAAGAGCGGCTCGGCCAGTACCCAGAGGTATTCCAAGGCACCGACGCGGTAACACAGAACCGACGCGTGGCTCTGCAGCGCATCATCGAAGTCCACGACGCCCTCGAACTCAAGCAGCACTTCCAAGCCGCCACTTCACCGACCTCGGCATGCAGCAGCAGCAGCCACCGCCAGCGATCTGGATCCTCGTCCTCGACGTCCAGCGACGCCTGCATAATCGACTTTAGCGACCTCCCGTTCCCAGACGCCGAAGTTCGCGCCTTTCGATACTTTGTTCGACGCTGGGATCCCAGTATGCCTGCAGATCCTGAATTCGACCAGGCCATCGCATCTGCGCACCATCAGTTTGAGGAAATGGCAATCAAGCATTTCATCCGGCGAGTAGTCTTCTGGAACGCGAGTGAAGAGGCCAAGGAGGATATGTCGAGGAGTGTGTGGAGGCGGAGGGGAAGATCAAAGAGTCAATTGAGCAGCATGTGGAACAACGAGAGAGGGCGGACGGAGTTCTCAGCGCGGGATCAACTCAAGGAGGTGACTACGCAAGAGGGGCTTGCACAGTTGCTGTGGACGCTGCTACACAACCGTAACATTTCGCTGAATCCTGGGTTAAAGGCCGAGTGCACGGATGCGTTGAAGCGAATGTATGGTATGAAGTGTTGATTCCATCATTGTGCAGTGGGTACGGTCCTGGTTATCCTGTTTGAACGGTTGTGGTGATTGTCTTGCTCGTATGTTGTTGATCATATGACTCGTTTGGATAGCATGTGCGTTTTCGCGATCTGTGTGTTCAGGAGAAGGCATGCGGGCGGTGTGCGCTGGGTCAAGGCGGATAGGGATCGGTGACGATGAGTGTCAGTCCTGAGTCGTCAATGTCACATTGTAGTCTTTACAATGGGGTAGCAGACAGAGGATAGTGTTGATTGTGAAAAATTTGCACGCTTGAGTGTCGGGATAGTAAGTGTCAATTCAACGTTGGGCAACTGTGCATGCTGTTGCACGTGATGTGCTGAGTGCCCAGACATTGAAGATGACATCATCAACCTCTTGCCCTTATCCGGCACTAGCGGCTAATCAGCACCGCACCGGGTACCGGTTCCGATCGGAACACTTCCATCTCAATACGCACCAGCTCTGAACGAACCTACAAACAACCACCGAATCTTTCCAAGATGCCACTCCTACGCCTCGGATACAAGCAAATTCACTATGCGGATCTGAAACCACAAGGAGATGTGCGGGAGACGTTCATCATGATACACGGGCTGGGGTCCTCCCAGGACTATTACTATGCCGTTGCTCAAGGTCTGGTCGCCGGCGGCTTCAGATGTATTCTTTTCGACAATACGGGTTCGGCGCGGTCGCCTTATACCTTTGTCGAGCAAAGTGTCAAAACGCTGGGGGATGATATCATCGGCATCCTGGATGTACTTGAGGTTCCCAAGGCCATCGTTGTTGGCCACAGTATGGGAGGGTATGCTCACTCTACATGCCCACGTCCTACCATCGTTGCTGACTTCACTCTTCCAGCATTGTGGCTGCAGACCTTGCTGCAGAAAGAAGCGATAGAATAGTCGCGGCTGTGTTGGTTGGACCAGTGTACCCAAGCAAGGAGGCAGCCCCGAGATTCGGGCAGCGAATTACGATTGTGGAAAAGGAAGGCATCCAACCTCTAGCAGACACCGTGCCTCATGCGGCCGTAGGGAAGAACGCATCTCCTCTGGTCAAGGCTTTCATTCGTGAATTGCTCCTTGGCCAAGATCCCGCCGGCTACATATCGAATTGCCGAATCATTGTCAACGCCGAGGTACCCAACTACAGCAAGATCAGCATCCCGACCTTGATCATTGCGGGTGAAGAGGATACGAGTGCACCGATGGAGGGAAGCAAGAAGATGTTTGAGGAGATTGGGACAACGGAAAAGAGGCTGGAGATTATGCAGGGCGTTGGGCACTGGCACTGTCTCGAAGGCCCTGACGAAGTCGTTGAGCTGATACAGACGTTTTACGACCAGATACAATGAAGAAGAATACCATTCAGATAGCTCGTTCTCGATGGGAACTGGGTTCAGATGACCAAGCCAGGCTGACTGCTCATTGGCTGATGTTTCTACGCTTTGTTATGAGGAGGAGAAGAAGTTGATGTTACCATAGTACTACTAGTGCATGGGCGGGGGGTTAAGGCATGCTCCCTCTTGACGCTGGGCGTGCATAGTGGGTAGAAAGGGTGTACGAGAACGCAGGCAAGTCAACAGGGTCTAGAGTAGAGTAGAGCAGCAAGATGGCTGTGTGCGAAGTACATGGTCTAGTCCTACAAGTGTAGTACGCAGTTGGGGATGAGCGAATCACAAGCTGCATTATTGGGGGGTTTGGCGTTTTGGCGCCATGTACGTGCGAGTCGGCAGAGAGAGAGAGAGAGAGAGAGAGAGAGAGAGAGAGAGAGAGAGGGTGTGGGTGGCGTTGTGCGGCCGCCTGACGTGGTCATTGGAAGGCCGTCGTGCCTGAGACTCTGGGCGGGGGTGGTGCACTGGTTGGTTGGCGCCCGCCGTAAGGGTGTTTGCAGCGGACATGTTGGTCGTCACGTAGGTACACGAATCTGCACGACACGACACGACACGACGAGTGAAGTGAAGGGGCGGGTCGAAGATGGAAGTAGCCTTGATTTTGCGGTTGGATGCATGCAATGCAAGAGTACAATCCATGGCAAGGGACGGGGGAGAGGGGGGAAGGCAGAAAGCATGAATCGTTCGCGGCTGGGCTTGTCTCTGTCGAGCGTGGTGGCCGCAGCCGATGTCGGTGGAGTTGCTGGGATCGACATGCACTTGATTTCGGTCATTCCCGCTGTCCGTGCTTGTCGTACGCGGAAATGGATTGCCAATCGGTACACAGTGCAGGACAGGTAGCTACAGATACAGTGACAGTAGGGGACAATGAACGAGGCTGCTCGCTATCCGTCTCATCACAGGGCGGTCCAGCTACGATTTCCAGGCAGGTATGCATATGTAGGTACGTGCAGGTATACACACAGAGGTACCACATGTATAGGTACATGTGGTACCTACCTAGTAGTCCCTCGATAAAAACTCTTCTTCTCCTTCTCCTTCTTCTTCTTCTTCTTCTTCTCCTTCTTCTCCTTCTTCTTCTTCTTCTTCTCCTTCTTCTTCTTCTTCTTCTCCTCTGTGTGGAACCAAGTCGTCGAGCACAAGCACTTGCGTAGGGTAGGCAAGGCTGACTAGAGTCACAAGTATACCATGTGTGTACGGCAGGCAAGACTGGCGGCCGGTTCTATTGCGACACTAGTTCCCCCACGTGTTGAATGGATGTTCTTGCTAAGCCCCAAACCAGTCGAATCAGCGGAGGCGGTGAAGTCAACCCATCCACCATCCACCATTCACCATTCACCATTCACCGTCCACCGTCCACCATTCACCGTCCACCGCCACCGTCCACCGTCCACCGTCCACCGTCTTAGCTAGTACAGTAGAGCCGTCGCCCACCCTTTTTTTTACCGCTTGGCTTCCTCAAAGATCGTGCATGTTCCGTGCGCCGTCTTGCAGGTGGGCAGGGCCTGGGCCAACCATGGGCCAAGATCTACCATTGCGCTCGTTGATCTCGCTGGTCTGTTTAGCCCTAGTGAGTTGGCTCCTGCGACTGACCGCGTCGCTTGATTCACGAAACAGTGCGGGTCCAGCATCATTTGACAAATGCCGCCATACTATAGAGGCGGCGCACAACCTCTTTGTAGCCGGAGCTCCCCCCCCCCTCCCTTTCAAGCCTCCCCATCTGTTCCTTGCGAACAGTGACCTTGTCCTCATTTCCGCCTCTGCACTGGTTGCTGGTCAGTTTTTGCCCTTCCCCCTAGCTACCTTTGCAGCCTTCCTCGCTGGTCGCATCCTGCATCGAACAAGCACTAACAAACACTTCACCAGACGGTGCCGAAGCGAAGGACAATTTATATACCCAACCACTTCATCAATCTTCACTTCTACCTCACACCCTCCAGTCCTGTCGCTTTTTCATGGATCCACAATAATGCATCGCAAAGACAGCGGATTCGTGGAATTCCACGCTTCAAAGTCATGCTGTAAAGACTCATCCGCCGACCAGAGCAGTAATCTTGCAACGACTCCTCGTCGCAAACATTGCAACAACCCCACCAACTCGCTCCCTTCTTCCAAAATCACTTCCAAACCCAAGCACATGGATACTGAACGCCCCGCCTCGGAAAGACGGTCAAGGCCAGCCCGCCAAACGTCGACCATATCGTCAGGAGACTCCACCACCAAGTCGAAGAGTCGTGGCTACAGCTCCAAACCATCGTCACGCCGCACTTCATGCACCATAGTCGACCCCTCCAGACCAGCGCGCCACTACAGGATGAAGAGCTCGCAGTCCGTACCTGCTGCAGCCGGGCAAGACATTGACGACGTCCTCGCGCTTCACTTTCGATCCTGTAGTCTCTTCACCAACCCATCCTACCAATGCGCCTCCGGCTTACCAAGTCCCACACTGTCCCAGCGACCTGGTCCCACATATTCTAGCGGGCCATTGCGTTACAGCATCGACGAAATGCGTGCAAACCAAGCACCAGTACTGCCCGAGGACAGCGAGGACACCATGGCCGCCGCATCCAAGACAAACACCACCATGCACTGGACCTCACCCTGCAGTCGCAAGCGCGAGTACGAAAGAATCGACCGGGCCAACAGTGGTATCCGAGGTCTCCTCCGCAAAGCGCTTCCAAGAAGTCTATCCGGTCCGCAGGAGAAATTCTACGAAAAGGACCAGTCTGACGCCGGCTCAGTCAGACGCTACAGACTTGGCGATGTCAACGATGGCGACGCCGAAAATGACGACGACGACGACAATAATAACAGCATTACTACCGAGAAACTGCCCTCGCGTAACCAGACTCGTGGCCTGCAGAGACCCGTTAGCCGTCAGCGGAAACCAAGTTGGGGCTGTTTTTAAAGCGGGATATCATGACACTCACACACATGCATACACATACACAACATTGCAAACCAACGTCGATCAAACCCCACAAGGACGGACAGACATATACACATACACAATCTTGCATCTTTGCGCGGCATCTTCCAACCAAAAAGGCGTTTTTCGCAACGATACCCACGGCCTTTTCATTTTAGCGCCCTTTTTTTTTCTTCATCCTTGCATCTTCACGCCGGCATATTGCTTCTTCATATATCCTCATATGCTCATGCACGTGCATCTTAGCAAGCCTGTCCTTTTTTTTTTCTTTTCGACTGAGAAGTCCCTTGAGGAGAGGACAGAGTTTGCGTTTAGTTTTAATACGTAAGATTTTTCGGTGGCGCGGGGGATGGGATGCGCGTGCTTGCCTGCTCGCTTGCTGCTATAGAAATGATAGGATTCTTTTTTCTTCAGGCACCGAGTCTGAGATTCGTCTCCATCTTCCCCGTGCGCATAAAGTTTGAGGCTAGAAATTCTTCCTCGTGGAGTTGTGCTAGATGTGAGGAATTGCTGATGAATGGACAATATATCATACACCATGACATGGCACTGGAAAACACAATCATGGCACTCGTTGGTGGCGGCGCACATGAACGACACATGCACATACACATTCACATATACAATGTTGCTGCTACATTAAAAATCTTGCCCGCTTTATCCAAATTCAATCATCACCACCTCGAACCCCCAATCCAACACTTTACAACTTCGCCTCCTCCTTGACCGACCCAATCTTGAGCTTCGCACCATACTTCTTCAACACACCCTCGTTATGGTACTAGAGACAACTTGTAGTTAGCATATGCACACACACACACATCCCAACCCCCCCTCCCCAAACACCACAAGCCAAAGCAACGAAAAACATACCTTCCAAAACTGCTTACTCGCATCCTTGCCCCCCACTCTCTTCAGAATCTTCGCCCCGCCCGGATGCTCATCCACAAACGAGTCGAGCTTGTAGACGTCGTTGTCGATGATGATGTATAGGCCTTTTTCCACGGTGTTGTGCTCGGCGACTTGCTTGGTCGTGAAGGTGGAGGACATGGTGGGGTGGGGTATGGGCGGGTTTGTGGAGATGTGGGTGTGGATGTGGATGGAGAGGGTTGGGGGCGAGGGACTGCGTGGGTGGGTGTCGTTGATGGGTGGCCGCTTGGGGATGTGGTGGTATAGGTAGGTACCGGTGTATGGCGTGAGGCGGGCTGGGGACGGAGGAGATGGATGGATGCGCTGCTCAGAAAGGAGAATATGCAGAGAATGTAGAGGCTCCCAAAGTCAAGAAAAGTCTGGGGTTAAAGCAACGCGCCAGTGTATAATCGGGGTAGGAAAGTTGGGGCGCAAGTCTGGGATGGGGAATGGAGGTCAAGTTGCCGAGGTAAGTTGGGGCACAAATGTGGGTTTAGGAGCTTTGGTAGCGCGGCGTTTGTCCGTCTGGTCAGTTGGCGGCTGGCTTGTCTGTCAGCGGGAATGGCAGGGTTGGTGATTGGATGGGCTGGTTTCTGAGCGGCGTTGGGGAGAGATGGACTGATCGACTGTTTTCTGTGAGAGAATATAGCATAGCATGTGAGTGCTGGGCTTGGGAGGAGTTTGGGAGGAGAAGAGGTGCTTTGTAGCTGCGATTACCGCAGGGACCGGCATACCTGTGCGAGACTTTCACGACATCGTACCTACTCTACCATTCCCTCCATTTCTCCACAGCACGCCTTCACCCTCAGGCGCAAAACATCTCTCTCTCTCCAACCGCCATCCAAACCACTGCAACAATCCCCCCCCCTCCCTTAACAACCACACCAAACCGCTCCCCAAAACAATTCCCAGCCCAACCCACAATTCTCACAGCACACACCTGCTCCACCAGACAAGACATTCCCAACGCCCAAGCCATCGATCCAGATTGTTTTACACCCTCCCCGTTCTATTTACCCCATGGATCAAAGGAAATAGCACCATGATCTCTTTCGCTGTCTGAGTGCGAGCAAGCGACAATGTCTTGCCAAACTTGGGTCGTCAAGCGGCGGGGCTAGCATTCTGAAATGTTGTTGCGTGGTTATTACTACTAGGTACCGCTGCAGTGTAATGGTATAAAAGAGGAGTCTTTTGGTCGGGTAGATATAGGCAAGGGGTTCAGAGATACTTTGGAAAGTTCCTTCTTTTTTTTTCACAGGCAGAATCAGCGTTGATCCATCTTCATCGTCCTCTCGTTCTTCGTTGAATCGCGCACACATCTACCAAACATCCAGCCAGCGAGCCAGCGAGCAGCCAGCACATCTGAAAACAAATTCCATACCTTCCAAGTCGAACCGAATCAGACCAGAACAGCAATACATTCAGGCCGCCAAACCCACCCGACTCCTCATCACCATATCCCTTCTCCAACGCACGCACGCACATGCTCTCTCTCCCCCTCTCTCCCTACCCCTTGCCCAAACCATGTGCAACACCCACCTGACAACCTGCGCCCTCTGCACCCGCACCCTCTCCATCCACTACACACCCTGCGCACATGCCCTCCTGCACAGTATCGAGCCCGCCGCGTGTCCGCTGCGCATGAAGCGGTGGCGGGTGGATTGTGGGCGTGAGTGTGAGAGAGAGAGGAGAGCTGGGTCAAGAGGAAGTGAAAGGGGAAAGCAAAAGGAAAAGAATGGATGTGGAGGATATGGATGTGACGTGGCCCGCAAGGGCAGTTTGAGCGTTTTGCCAGGCGAGATGGGGTGTGTGGATGGGAATGGGGATACGGGGTGGGATGAGGAGGAGGTAGAGGTGGATGGTGAGGATGGCGAGTGCAGCGAGAACACCGAGGATGGCGAGAACACCGAGGATGGCGAGAACACCGAGGACCCAAGAGCATAAACCTGCCATTGTAATTCCAAGCCCGAATGTAGAAAATTGGTATGACGGGATATAGTATACTCATCGTCCTGTGGTATCATCATCAGACGAAGAAGAAGAAACAGGAGAAGGGGAGCAAGGCTGTAAAGAAGAAGAAGTCCATTCAGACCACAAAGGGCCAAGTCCCTTGAATACCCTACAAGAATAGTCCATTCAGACCGTACAAGAAGTCCGCTCATACCGTACCAAAACAATCCTTCCATACCGCACAAGATAATAAGCAAGCTCTATGATATCCAACCCATGCCACAGACAACAGACAGACATATATACATCATCTCATCATCATCATGTATAACCTCAAGCTCATCTTAGCTCATCGCAACAACACACAATTCTACTGTCCGTTGTTATCCGCCTGTTGCTGCTGTTGTTGTTGCTGCGGCGGCGTCTGTCCAAACAGGCCTCCAAACCAACTGGCCCGATTCGCCGCCTTGCGCGCCTTCATCGCCTCCTCTTCATTCTGCACCAGGCGGAGCGGCCGCATGCCCTTGCCCGTCATGGGCCCGCTGCTCGTTTCGCTGCGTTCGAGGCGGCGCGGGGGGCTGGGCGTGTCGACGTGGCTGGCAGACGAGGAAATGGTGCTCGAGTCGACTTCCTTGTCTTCGGGAATGGGGCCTTGGCCAGACGGCGCGCGCGATGTCGGGTTGCTTACGCCGTTGACGCCGGCCACGGGGAGGCCGAAGAAGGAGTTGCGGGGCGAGATGATGCCGGGGGATGTGGGGTTCGGAGAGGTGGTGCTGGGGGTGCGGAACATGCTGTTTGCTGCGCCTGCAGCCCCGACCTCGGATGTTGAGCGGCGGTGCGTGTAGCTGCCGCTTGGATGACGGCCGGATTGTGTGCGCGTGAGGGGGATACTGGGGGCAGTGGCGGGGTCTTCGTGGGCGTTGTGTTGGGTGGCATTGGCAATGGGTTGGGGGGGCGGGCCCATCATGCTTAGCGGTCGAGGCTTGTTGCGGTTGTTGCCCATGGCGACAGATTTGGCGCGCTGGAGGAAGCCTTGTGGTTGCTCCGTCTCTTGTGGGGGAGGAGGGAGCTCCTTATTCTTGTCTGGCATGCTCGAGCCTTCTGCATCTAAATCGGTGCCCAGTACCGACTCGAAGCCTTTGTGGGTGAGCAGGCGACTGATGATCTTGTTGATGTACAGTGTCAGGGCCTTGTTCTCTGCCCTCAGCGTATTCACTTCGCCTTCGAGCCTGCGCACGACTTCGACATCGGCCTCTGCAACCGATTGCAACTCGTCAGCCAAGCTGGTCGAAGGGCCATTGCGTGACGGAGCGCGCTCCTCGGCCTGCGAAGATTCTCTCAAGAACTCGCCACGGCTAAGATCGCCATTGAGAGTCTTCTCACCCAGTAGTAATTGGAAGCTTTCGTTGTCTTCCATGAGCCGGGCATTGGTCTTGCGTGTCTCGAGTAGCTGCTTCTCCAGCTCACGCAAGCGGCCACCACCGGCGTTCTCCACCTCGAGCACCTTGACATGGTACTCTGCAAGCTCGAGGCGAAGGTCCTCGATGATCTTGTCCTTTTGGTTGATGAGCTTGGAGTTGTTGCGCGAGTTGCTGCGCTGGATCGACGAAGGCGGGGCAAAGTTCTCGAGGTTCTGCGACGAGTTGGAGCGTGAGGGGTTGTTGCGGAAACTTGCTAGGGGTCTTGTCAGTGCTGAGGCTTAGAAGACACGAGGTTAGCCATGGACATGACTGGTCACTTACATGCCCGTGACACAGGTGTGTCCTCATCCTCGGACACGAGGACATTCTTGGTGGCCATGGTCTCTTTGAGGCGCTGGATCGTGTTTTGCAGCTCTTCCTCGCGCGCTTGCCTCTCCTCCTTGTCCTTCATAGCCTGCGTGTGCTCCGCTTCGTAGATGCTCTCGAGCTCACGGTGTTGGCGCGTCAATTCCCGCTTCACGTTCTCGAGCGACTCGACCTTTTCCTCCTCTTCGTGGGCCCGCTCTTCCAGCTTGGCCTGCTCGGCCAGTGATTCGTCGAGGCGGGCGTTGAGCACCTCGACCAGCTTCTGGCGCTCCTCTGCCTCGGACTCTGCCTTTTGCAGACGGTCCTTGAGGTCCTGCAGATAGGCAGCCTGCTCTTCGCGGGCGTCGTCGGCCGTGGTGTCGGCGGGCGAGGCATTGCTGAGGTTCGAGGCGGCGGTAGGTTTTTTGACAGCCGCACGGGCGGAGACGGGTGCCCCATTGGTGCCAGAGCGGACAGAGCGCGTCCTAGCGACGCCGCCCGCGCCATTCGAGGTCGGGGTAGACGACGACTTTGCGGGGGTTCGGTTGGCAGCTGCGGGCGATGAAGAGGCGGTCTTGGATGCAGCCTCGCGACGGGGCGTGCCCGACAATGCTGGCTTGCTTGCTGTTGTGGCCGACATTGTGCAGGCTGGCCGTCGTGGTTATCGTTGTTGTTGTATTGGTGGCAGTGCTGAGGATGAGGATGATGATGGGCGTGGGCGTGGGCGTGGGTGTGGGTGTGTCGAGGGGGGATGCAACTGTGGTGCAACCGTGGAAGACAGACAAAAGGCCAACAGCGCGGTGTTGGGAGAGTGCTGTGCTGGTTGCGGCGGCGGTGGGGTGGTACAAAGTAGTTCCGATATACGTTGTGAATGTAATCGGGAGCCTGGACAGGAGGGGAACAGGTGCCACAACAGAGTACGTTACTTGACTTGGGAGTATTCTTTTGTGTAGAGTATGAGAGGGTTGCCAGACGCAATCTCAATGAGCGGTGATGCGCCCAGCCGTCGTCGACGCTGATCGTTTGTCAAAAGACGGTACCGTGCTGGGGGGGGGGGAGCTTGCTTGCAGTGGAGCTAACGCGAAAAGGACGACGAGTCCAACGGGCGTGCTTGGGGAGTGAGTGAGTGAGTGTACACACAAGCACGGTCGGGTAACGAGCACAAGACTGTAATGGCCGCGCAGACAAAAGGAGAGATTCGGTGGCTGTGGCTGTGGCTGAGAAAGGGGCAACAGTGATGGTGGTGGTGGTGGTGGTGTTGGTGTAACATCTAACCAGACGCTCCAAGGACAAGACAGGCCTGAGTCTTTCCGAGTTCCCACAAGTAAAGTGCAGCTGGGCAGTCAGTGCCATCCCCCAATCTTACTTGGCCTGTCGCTCTCCTGGGCCTGTCCCTGCACAACCCAGCTGCAGAGTTCCCAGTCAAGCGGAAAGCAGCGCCAAGTCCTTGCTCACCCTCACCACCTGCAACCTGTGGCATGTGCGTTGCCCAGCTTTTTTCGTTCTCTCTCTCTCTCTCTCTCTCTCTCTCTCTCTCTCTCTGTCTTCGCCCGTAGACTGGGAAACCATCACTGCAGCAACCTTGTCAGAGCTTACAGAACCGCCACCTCTCCCCCACTCCCCGTGTCCGGACGAGATGACAGCTGAGCTGCATCAATCATCACACACCATACCATTCCATCTACATGCATACAAAAATGTCAGACACACCCATCATCATCATCATCATCACCACAAGCAAGGTAGACAACGAAATACACACAATCTACAGTAGGTATAAATAAACATGATCGAAATCGAGTGCACTGCAGGGGGGGCCAGAGAGGGTGTGGTCGCCATGGCCTACGGTCATCTATATCCTCGCCTCGCCTCGGTTGCCCACGAGAAGCCAGCGTCTCACAGCTTGTGTGGGAAAATAGGGATGGCTTGCCTTGTCACAGGTCCCACAGGTTCGACTTTCTTGACACATGGCAGCTGCTGGCTTTATTTTTAAAATGATCGCGGCAGATGGTGGGTAAGAGCAGGGTAGGGTAGGGTAGAGTAGAGTAAAGTAGAGTATATGCACGGCACGGTAACGGTCACGGTAGATAGCACGCGAGAGCACGTGCGTCCACTTTGTGCCTGTCTCCAGTGCTCCGTCTCCGATATACAAACCTCCCACATGGTTGACCCATGTTTCCATGTAGACAATCGGACAAAGAGCATCTACCAATATACCCTGGGCAGGTACTGCTCTCACAATGTGGTCTCATGCTTATGCAAAATCAATCAAATGGATGTAATCATACCAAAGTAAAATTAGTCGTCTATGGAAGATAGGCAGCTCCAGCAATGAAGCGAAACATATGCACACCCCCTTCCACCCCCTCATCAACTCTCGTTTGGCCCGTCTACGCATCCAATGGGTAACGGTCCAAGAACTTGAAAGTCCGGAGTCCCTCAGAGAGGCTCTCGACTAGGGCGGCCACATCGCTGCCCGAGTACACACCAGGCGTGCCAGCCTCGATGCCGGCGGCCTGGAAAGCGGCGCTGCCAGATCCAACCATGGCAATCGGCTTACCCCACTGGTATCCTTCTTGGAGGATGCTCAGAGGGCGCCCAGCTGGGTACAGAGTCGATCGTGCACTCGCCGTGCTGTTGCCAGAGCCAGTCGTCGTCGAGTTGGAGAGGCTACCTGGAGCCGCAAACAGGGCCTCGGCACCACTGTCGACAACGATGGCATCGAATTGACCGGCAAAGGTGGTCGAGTAGAGCTGGTCAATGCCTTCGCCGAAACGCTCGGCAACGACAGACACATCAACCTTGCGCTCACCAAAGGCAGATTTCAGGGAGGCACCAGCGTCGCCTCCAGCCGAGGTGGATGTGAGGAAACCGACCTTCAATCCGTCAATCTTCAACAGGGGGTCCTTGGCGACACTGACACCAATCGTAGTGTTGTCGTGGTAGTAGGTGTCATCTGCAGCAGGCGCAGTCATGTCAAGAGCCTGGGCGACGCGAACAGCCACATCATGGCTAACACGGTTCAGCTGAATGAGAACGTTGTTCTTGACCACCTCACTTCTGACCTGTGCAGTCTCGAACCGCATGGCGTTGACGAGGAATTGTTGCTCCACAGCCGACAAGGAGTTGTAGAAGAGGCGAGGTTGCGACCAAACATCAGCAAAGGTCGAGGATACGGCACGGACAAGACGTCCACCAACAGAGCGGTTGGGAGCACTGAAGAATCCACGGCCTTGTTCCATAGTGGCCTGCTTGGGAGATCCTGCGTTGTTTGTGTTTGGGGAGTAGGGAGCAGTGTTAAGAGGGACGAACATTTGCCCTGCACCGTCGCGCTGGTTGTTGTGGACAGGAACGCGGGGCTGGTTGATGGGAATCTGCTCAAAGTTGGGTCCACCGTGGCGGTTGATCTGAGTGTCCAAGTAGGAGAAGATTCGTCCTTGCAGCAGTGGGTCGTCTGTGAAGTCGATACCCCTGACGATATGGCCGACTTGGTACTGAAATTCGGTCAATAGGATGTCTTTGTAAAGACCATGTAATTACTTACCATGACCTGCTCCGTCTCGGCAAAGTAGTTGCGGGGGTTACGGTTCAAAGTGAGCTTGCCAAGAGGAGTGAAGGGAACAATGTCCTCAGGAACGATCTTTGTGGGATCTAGGAGATCAAAGCCCCAGCGTAGCTGGTCTTCTTCATCCATGACCTGTGCCTCAAACTAAATGACATGTTAGTGACGGTCGAAAACAAGTCAATCGTGCTGGCTTACGGCCCACTCAGGGTATTGCTCCCTCTCAATGCTGTCGAACAAGTCTGCACGGTGCATATCCGAGGCCTTTCCAGATGCAGCCTGCGCTTCCTCCCACAGAAGCGAAGCCTTACCCTGCAAAGTTCGGAAGCGGAACTTCACAAGCTTGGTCTTGCCATCGTCAGTCACGAAGCGGAAAGTGTGAACACCCCAACCATCCATGTGCCTGTAGCTGCGGGGAATGCCATGGCCGCTCATCGCCCAGAATAGCGTGTGCATGGAAGAAGGCTGCTGACTGAAGAAATCCCAAGCGTTGTCATGAGCAGAGGCAGCTTGAGGAATCTCATTATCCGGTCTTGGCTTCACAGCGTGGATGAGATCGGGGAACTTGATCGCATCTTGGATGAAGAAGACTGGAATGTTGTTTCCAACAACGTCAAAGTTGCCCTCGTCCGTGTAGAAACGGACGGCAAATCCGTGAACGTCACGAACGGTATCGGCAGACCCACGACTTCCAGCGACGGTGGAGAATCGTACAAAGACCGGTGTTTCCTTGTTAGGCGTGCTCAAAAATGAAGCACCCGTGATGTTGGACCAGTCTCCATAGGAAGTGAAGACACCATGTGCACCAGCACCTCGTGCATGAACAGCTCGCTCAGGAACTCGCTCGTGATCTAATCAAAGTCATGAGTAACGATTTGCAATGCAGACTTTCTTCCTCACTTACCAAAATGCGTGATCTTCTCGCGGAAGATGAAGTCTTCGAGCAGCGTTGGTCCCCTCTCACCAGCACTGAGGCTCTCTTGATCATCAATGGGTCCTCCAAAGTTGTTGGTCATGTAAGCGTTGGTATCATTGACTTCATACTTGGCCATAAACTCGTCGGTCGAGGCTGGAGCTTGTTGTCTGCGGACCTGCTGATGGCTCTCTGGTAGGTCTCGGGCCTCATTACTCATGTAAGGGCATTGTGCTTGGGCAACATAACCATATGCAGCAATTGCTGCAAGCACGCTTGATCTCATGGTGCAGTTTGTCGAGAGGGTGTTGTGAGAGAGTGGCAACGGGTCCAAATGTATTTATATAGCTGAAACCCCTGGACAGTAAAATTACGCAGTGTCACCGACGTGCACATCTTGACGTACTCCTGGTTCTGGAACCGTGCTTGGAGGACTTGCTTTGTCAAATCAACAGCCCGCCTTTGATCAGCCGAACAGTTGCTCTTGGCATAGTGAGTCGATGTGCCAATTCACGGGACCCACTTGTAGGACTAGGATGTCCCAATGAGGATAGACATGATACTACAAGGAGTGTCGCCAAGAGCTTGTAGGCAGCTCAAGAAGCGTGAGACGCTGTGCTGCATTTGGGGATTACCCCGAGTTCCCTTAAAGGGAAGCATGACCGGTTTGAATATGTTTGCTGATGACGGCGAATAAGCTGACCTATGTTGCTCATGCATGCCGGAAAAAGAAATCGTAACGGTATTAAGTGATGGAAAATCCCGCCGCAATACATCCTTATGGCATGTCGGCTTTGTTAGATACCAAGTTAGACCCAACTCCTACTAATTTCTAGTAGCATATAACGGATCTCGTTAGTTGCAAGACATGACTGGGGTACAGTTGGAATGGATTGCTCAGCGGGATCCACTTGCACACCCGTGGCCAACGTGTATGCGGGCTCATCCTGGTTGTGCACAGCGGCACAGTGAAGGAAGGCGGGTTGTCGGTGGTATTGTGCCTGTTGGTGGTTTTTTTGTCAACACCGCGCGATGTACTCGCGATTCGAGTCTTGGCAGTCAGCAATATGCAGTATAGTTCAAATCACATCTGGGGTACGGCACGGAGACGGAGTGCGAGCGGGAGCCGTTGGGCCTGTTGACGCGCCACCCCGTCGAGACATTGGCGACCAAATTTCTGGAGTTTGCGATCTTTAGATACCTAGGTGCCTATAGCAGTATAGCAGTACCTCGTCGATAATAGTCAAGGCAGAAGAAGGTCGTGGGTCGTGGGCCAGACAGTGGGCTTAGTAAAGGTCAGGTCTGGGTGGCCAGACTTGCCAAGTCCAGACGGCCACTTGACCCCGTGAGAGTTGAGGGATCGACATGGATGGGGTAGGCCCGACATCCTGGTGTTCCTCGACATCCCGATAGCCTTGCGTTCTCTCTACTCATTTGCGAACTTTCTCTGTGAATCGTGTAAGGCACCTAGACTCTCATGGAGACCATTGACCGCAGTCAATATTGGCTATACCGTGTCGCTTCCCTCATGGTGACACTGACATGGCACGAGGAAGAATGAAGTCGCGCTTGGGATATGCAAAGATGTGATTCTGTGGGCAGAAACATGGTGCCCATGTACATGGCAAACAGGATGCCGGTACCTAGTAGTACCCGTCTAACTTAGGACTGTGGAATATGATCGTCAGCGAAAATAATTTGGGACTGTGAAGCAGGCTTCATGGTTGTTCGTCAAGTGGCTATGCGACCTTCCCCACGAGTAAGCCTATCTGCCGGTGTATGCCTATCTCACCTTGATTAAGTATACGACTACCGCACCGAAGAGGCGTCTGGATGTTTTTGATAGACGAGCGTATGGCTACTATAATGAAATGAAGGTCTGCAATGGAGACATTTGGGTTGCAGGCATAGGTACACAATGGAGTAGCGTAGCTAGCTGTCGGATTCCATCCCAAGACGACATGTATCCGAACCAACTGGGGGTTGTGTAATGAGATCCAAGAAAAGGCCGCGTAGCACTGGTCCAGTCGCCTCCGGTACGATTGACGATTCATCAGGCAACTCATCCGATGATGCAGCTCTACATGAACTTACAACACGCAGTCCCACCACATTACCTCCCGTAGATGCCGCAGAAGGTCCTTCAAGCGGCCTCGATACGTGCTGCGTTAGAACTGGTGGTCTGGCTGGCTATGATTTCAGCGCGGATGTGCAGCTCGCAGATACTAACACGATGGTGGTTCGTTGTGCTTTGTGTGCTTCGTTGTAGTCCGGCCGACCGTGCTTTGCGAATTGCTTGTGATTGGTGAGTATGATGTATATTGCTTTGTCGTAAATTTTCAACTTCCTAAGCCAGCTAATCCCAGGATATCTCCTAGGTCGACCCGAAAGCGTAATCTTGCAATCTGCGCGTTTCGTTCGTTGGAAGTCTAGTGCCGCGAGTAAGGGTCTGAGCTTTCGTGGAGTCGACTGAGTCAAATAGATTGCCCGCTGTTTTTGAAAGACACCACCCGCTGTGAGTGTGCGCCGACGACCCTTCGCTTCAAAACTTTGCACGGTCTGACAGTGTTGTGTGTTTTTTGTAGTCGGGGTCTTTGAGGCGCGGATGGATGCCCACCAGCTCAGGGCTACGAACATGGCGTTATGTACCCCCCGCCATTTTCAGCAAGGCCAAGAGATGCCTCTCAAGGTGCTGCCTCGAGCCTCCGTCAAGTGCAGGTTGGGATTCCAAAGGATTTGCCCCCTATGAAGTTCTACTTGGAAAGGAAGGAGAGAACGGAGATGTTATCTCAACAACAGCAATCGGATACCGACAGCCGATGGAAGTCTCTAAGCGCTTTTTCGCACCATGGAGCTGTCAATGAAGTTCGGCCATGGAGGGCAATGTGGCGTTGTGCGAGGTCGGGTGTGTCGCCAGTCCAGCTTGGCTGCTAAAACGAGCAATTGGGATGGGATGCTTCCAAGCGACAGCGATGACATCACCAGGTGCGAGGCGCGAGCGAGACTTCCTACCACCGTACTCATGCCCCCGCTCGTTCAAGTCTCAGACACAACCTTGTCACGACCAACCTTTCCATCGGAGCGCCTTTCCAGTTCTGGGAAACCAAAACAAGAGGATAATCCCCAAAGAGGTAATTCACAACTCCTGCCCATGTACAGTCACACACTGCGGCTGTAGTCCTTGGAACAAGTGCAATACTGACTTGATCCATCCGTAGACAACAACAGCTTTCAAGATCCTGAACCCAACAAACCGATTTGAAAATGTAAGACAGCCTTTTTTTTATGTAAGCTGTGGCGAGTTTGCGGTTACAATCTATGTATCTGCGCGATTCTTGCCGCTTTGCGGCAAATCTTCAACATAGGCTGTGATAAGGTGCAGAGAGATTCTCAGGACAGGACACACAAGATCTCTCGCAACCTCTTTATATTTTTGCTGACCATGCGCCCTTGCGCAAAAGGAATCGATCCTTGTCAGTCCGCTCCAAGAAGAGCAATGGCGGCGAGAAGACCGCGCCGAAGCACCGCTTTACAATGGCCTCCCTGCGTGGCACGCAACAACCCGAGCTCTCGAAGAAGCTGTACAAGATTATCAAATCAGAGAACCATGCCATTGGCGCGTATGAGGCTGCTGCGCGAGAACGCATCGGAATCGCCCAACAGCTCTCAGAGTGGGGCGAATCGACAGAGGATGAGACGATTTCGGAGATATCAGACAAGCTGGGTGTTCTCCTTGCAGAAATCGCCGAGCAGGAAGACCTCTATGCGCAAGCTCTAGAGGACTACCGAGGAATCTTGAAGCAAATCCGCAATACGGAGAGTTCAGTCCAGCCTAGTCGAGACCATAAAATCAAGGTACATTCTCTGCACTGTGCTAGAGCGATGGCTTGCTGACCATACTGTAGGTGTCTGATGAGATTGCAAAGCTGAAGTACAAAGAACCTCAGAGCACTAAGATTGTGCAGCTTGAACAAGAGCTTGTCCGTGCGGAAGCGCAGAGCTTAGTTGCAGAGGCGCAGCTTAGCAACATTGTATGAAAGGTGGCTGACATGATCCTGCAACTTACTGACCATGTCAGACCCGCCAAAAGTTCAAGGAGGCGTACGACCATCACTTCGCTGCAACGATTGAGCGCGCGGAGAAGCAAGCGATCCTGGCCAAGCACGCGCGCCGGTTGTTGAACCTCGTTGATGACACACCGATCGCGCCTGGTGACGTGCACCCAGCGTTCGCCGAGGTCGAGGCAGCCCGCCAGGTTCTTACTGATGCAGAAGACGACCTCCGCAACTATCAGCTTGACATCGAGCCTATCCCATCTAACGCCGGCACCCTCGGTGTAGGCGCGATGCCCGGTGTGGCCAGTCCGACTAGCACTTCCATGCCAGAGCAAAGCGTCTATGCGAAGTCTACAACAACCGAAAACCAGGTGAATGAGGGGCAGTATGATACCAGTGGTTCAGCCCCGCAGCCTTTGGAGGAAGCTGACCGGGTCGAGAGGCTGGAGCAGGCGCAAGTGCAGGCGCCTGTTGCGCGAGCCGCGTAAGGGGCCTATAGGGGTGAATTGACTGATAGATAGAGAGACAGGGAGAAGGGAAAGAAAGAGGATTGTGTTTCGTTTCTGAACCTTTCTTGTTTATAACCGTATATTTTAACGATGATGAAAAGGGAACATGGGTGCAGTGGTAAATCAAAAGCTGTTAGTGCAAAGACGTGTTGTATTGTTCGATCGAAAGAGGGTGCGAAGACGAGATGAGATGAAAAGTAAAGGCAAGGGATAAAACAGCTGGTGCCTAGAAGCTGACGTCGTTGGTGACATGGAGAGTGTCGACAGGGCGAGAGGAGGAGGAGGTTGAGATTGAGGGGCCCAAGAAACCTCAGTCTGTGCTGTTGCTGCGGGTGGATTGGCGGGGAGGACTATCTTAGCGCGGAATGTGCCGCTTCCCTTCCCAAGAAGACACATGGAGCTCTGAACCACAACCGCAACTTTCCAAGAAAAAAAACCCCCCCTCCACGCAGTCTCGCACGCAGACTACAACCCCAATCCTAACCCCCGCTCGATAGCCTCTCCCTCGACTCCCTTCTCCACCGTCCTTCCTCCCTCACCACCGCCCTTTGCCCTTCGCAGCTCGCTGCCATATCGCCATGGCAGACCGCAAGAAGAGGGACCGATATGCGGGCGCAGCGTACGAGTTTGGTGCCAATGCGAGCGGTCAAGGCCAGGGTGGACAGATGGGAGCACCAGTACCGGCTGCAGCACCAGGATATGGCGCTCCAACACCTTCCTATGGCGCTGCGTCGCCTGGATATGGTGCTCCTGCTGCCCCCTATGGCGCCCCCGTCCCTGCCTATGGGGCCGCTGCGCCAGCATATGGACAGCCAGCAGGCCCCCAGGACCCCAGTGCGCTCAACCAGCAGTTCAATCAGATGAACTTGGGCCCCCAGCCTGGACAGGCTGCCCCGCAAGTACAGCAGCCCATGGCCGCGACGCAGCAGAATCAATTGTTCCCCTCGGACCTCATCGCCCAGCCTTTCCACGTCTCCGAACTCTATCAACCGCCCCCGCCCATCCATCTGCCCTCGAACGCGGCAGCCACACCCTCCGAGTTCGCCAATGAGTCAAGCAAATACCTCCGCTGCACCCTCAATACCATTCCCACCAACCACGGCCTCCTGAAGAAGAGCAAGCTGCCGTTTGCCCTCGTCATCAGCCCATACGCAAGCCTCCACGATTCGGAGGATCCGATTCCGGTCGTCCATGATCAGGTCATTAGCAGGTGTAGGCGTTGCCGGGCCTACATCAACCCCTACGTCTCATTTCTCGACCATGGCCACAGATGGCGGTGCAACATGTGCAACCTCACAAATGATGTCCCTCAGGCCTTTGACTGGGATGCGGCGCAACAAAAGGCCATAGATAGATGGCAGCGACCTGAGTTGAACTATGCTGTCACCGAATTTGTAGCGCCCCAGGAATACATGGTGCGGCCACCCCAGCCGCTCTGCTACTACATCATCCTGGATTGCACACAGGCTGCTGTCAACACCGGTCTGCTGGCCGTAGTCTCACGCGTCATCAAAGAAGCCTTGGCCCGGATACCCAACGCAGATGGTAGGACCCGCCTCGGTTTCATGGCAGTTGATTCCGGTCTGCACTTCTTCTCCATTCCACCGGACAACAGCGAGAACAACGACCCTCAGCAATTAGTCGTATCCGACCTGGAGGAGCCATATCTCCCAATGCCTTCTGATCTTCTCGTCAGCCTTAGCCAGTGTCGCGCCAACATCGAGACCTTCCTCGACCGCCTCCCAGCCATGTTCCAGAACACAATGGTCCCAGGCTTCGCGCTTGGCTCCGCGCTGCGTTCAGCACACAAGCTCATCTCTCCACTCGGAGGAAAGCTCACCTTTCTTTGCATTCCTTGGAAGTACGTTTTTCCTTCAGTGC